ATCGGCTTCAAATTGGCCAGAAATCGCTACATTTCTGTCAACCATTATCTGTCATCCGTCATAACACAAAATAACAAAAAATTTGCGTGTACTCAACTGCGTGCGCAATTTGCGGTCGTCACGATACTACTATTTCGTTTCCGGAAATAATATCGTTTGTTTTTACTATGTTTTTCGATACAAAATAGTAATTTTCCTAAAAAGTGCGGAAAATGATACTTTCTCGCACGCGAATGCCGTTGACCCGAACGATGCGAAGCGGAGTTCGGGCAAGCAGTCGAGTGCGGGATAGGAAATTGGAAATAGGAACAACTAACAATAGTGATATATTCTCTATCTTCTAATAATTAGTGATATATATATAGGGTGTTTCTTTTAAACAACTTGTCGGTGTGTGGTCGTCATAACTCAAAAGTGGACCACCCTATATGTTTAATTGTCCCTTATAAATATGGCAAATTATGAAAATAAAAATCGACCTGTTTCAGGACATTCCTCAAAAAAGCGCTGTAAATACATATACCTATTATATTCAGAGAGTGCATTATTTTGAAAATGTAAAATACTAACAAATTCAAAATATAAGCTTGCATAGGCCGTTTCACAAGTAGGTATATTATATTTTTTCCAGTATTGTTTCTTATTCTATTCTGTTACTCCATTTCTGTTCTCTTTCTGTTCTCTGCTACAGAATGAACAAATATGAAGTACGTGTTCCTCTCATTACCCAGAATTATATTTTTGTAAAATCTGCTTTAGAAAATAATGAAAGATGCCTGTGTAAGACTTTATTCAGTGTACCTAACACTTTTCGAATACAGTTGTTTAAGCATATTTGAAGATTACCTATCAGTTTTTCCATGATATAAAAATGAAACCATTTACTGAATGTATAAATGCGCAAATAATTCAACCGTTTGGATTTATCGCGATGTTAATTTCTCTTCTTGTTCCTACCTAAACAATAGTAGTAAGTCGTCATTTCCTCACTAGGACTATCACCCGTGAAGCGAAATCAATAGCGAAATACGCAACACCCTGTATACATACTCATATCTATGCCACTTTGCCTAAACCTACCGTGATTACTCCCTCTAGGGCCAGAGCCTCAAAGACTCTCCGGATTGTTGTGTTTATGTTTCCCGGTAAGACGTTCAAATGTCAGGATATTTGAAGGCTCCAAGCCATCTTCGATTTCATCCACTTCCTACTTAGTAATTTGATCAATGTTTGTCCTGTTAATGGGCTCTAGCGATACGGGGTGGTCCACTTGAGACTGACTATCCACCGTCAATATCTCCCAAAAAAATCACCAAAACACGCCGATTTTTTGTTTGAGGCCTAAACAGGGTGGCATTGAAATAAGTGCAAATATTTCAAATACTGAGAAAGCTCGCCGTGTACTATCGAATGGAACTAATAAAAAAATTTAGGGATCAAAATAAAATTTGAGGTTAGACCCCCTTCTTCACTGTAGCAAATCTGTCACCTCTGTTCAAATTTATATGCGGTAGAAACAATCACACGCGGAGTTCAATCATTTAAATTTTGTTCGATTTTTGGGATGAAATTTCTCGTTAATTAGAAGAATTAGAAAAAATTTGATATCATGGGAATATTCCTTAGACTGTATCATAATTAATGTGCATGCTGAATATGTATATTCATATTTGAACTCCCTACTCTCCCGAGTAACCCTCTCTATTCATATATTCAGGAGCCAAGCCAAAGACAAGAATCTCACTGAGCTAAGGCAAATACCGAGGCAAATACGCGACGTTTTCAGTGTTTCAGGCAGAAATTATTGCAATACATCATTGCGTGAAAGAATTGAAAAGGCATGAGTTTAAAGGGATAGCCAGGCGGCAATCAAACTAGTTAACTCAATGCAAGTTAACTCAAAGCTGGTATGGGACTGCTCAGAAAACCTAAACCCTCGGTACCAGCACATACAGAGTACGAGGGCAATAAAGAGGCAGACTCACTTGCCCGAGCAGGAGCAAACAAAGCTCTGAATGGCCCAGAACCCTTTTGTGGTATTGCGAAAGCTATACAAAAAACCAGTGTTTATTAAAAAACCATTGTCAACACTCACAGAATATCTACTGAGCCAGAAACGGAGTACAACTAGAATATTAGTGGGACTTCTCACCAATGAACTCAATATTTGCTTCTCACAGGCCCAACAAACACATAAGTACGATAGGTCTGACTGAAGAACTGCTGTGCAGGTTCTGTCAGGAAGAGGAGGAAACTTTGCCACTGTGAGGACTTGTCAAGACTAAGGTTCCTCACGCTGGGTGAGGAAAAACCAAGAGCCCAAAGGTACACAGGGGATCTGAAATAAGCTGGCCTATGGAGTCTCATAGAGAAGGCGCGGCTAGCCAAAGAACTCTAAACGATTTTGAGGGCAGACACTGAAGAGGTCGCGGTGTGGAGGCAGATATCCCGAAGGTCCCACTCTGAATCTCATCTAAAATCTAAACCCTCTCTATTATCTCATTTTTTCATGTTCATAATTCATCTGAGGATGTTCCTTTTCAGTACTTTCACCCAATCAAAAGGTTCATACTCGAACGATGGAAACTCATTTCTATATTTATTTTCATAGACCTTCAATCGCAGATTCGTGGTTGGGTTTTCTCAATTCAGAATCTCTTTCCACGTCCTGTATGATGAATATCAATATGTCTTACATCCAAAAGCAATAATTTATTTTTCCTACAAGCGTGCCTGATTCACCCTATACCCGCACGCAATTTAGTTTGGGAAGTGTTATTTTCCCGCAGTGCGGGAAAAGTTTTTCCACACTAGTGCGGGAAATTTTTTCCCACACTAGTCTTAAGAAATGTATGAATGGTGCAATAGTAAAAAATTGAAAACACCAAATAAAGAAGAAGTATTTTTGGCTCATTTCCTAGAAATGTCTGAAACCTAGAGGCCAAACACTATGGGCATGCTGGCTTCCGCAATAAGCTTACATACATAATGCTTCAAACGGTACACACGATAGATATCACTCAATTTTTGGAATACCCATGTCGAGGTGATAAATGATTCAAAACTGTATTACATGTATATCAATAGCGGAGCAATTCATTTCCATCGATACCATCCATTTCTGAGAAATCTTCTGAAACAGGAGGATTTTTTTTCAATTTGACACATTTACAAGAAGAAATCAAATATACAGGGTGATCCATTTTTTACTTATGACGCCCGCGACAAAACAAAACACCCTGTATATAACTCAATGTGCAATATAATTTAAAATTCAGCCTCCTATGGAGATTCCAAAAATCGTCAGGTTACAGGTGATATACTGGTACGATATCGTACGAAGCTACTGTGTTTGAGAATTTTGGGAAATCTTATCGTTTGTGAAGTTTTCACATTTTCCATGGATTTCCATTACGAAACGGCCGAGTCAATTCAAAATACTGATTTTATTGCACAATAACAGGAAATACTGTGAATATATTGAATATTTCCTGAAAGTATTGCCCATTTGACAGTATATACCAGTAAATTTTTTAACCAGTGGTTCAACCCTCGCAGCCACCTAGATAACGATTTCAAAAATCGAATAAAAAATTGACGCCCTGTATGTATCTCATTTGAAAATCAAAAGTTGAGGTCATTTTCCAGCGACACCGGAAATTGCTTGAAAAGCATAATCTTATCAGTGAATGCAAAATAATATGATTTACATCTCGAACGATTCAAAAGTTACAGGGACGGCCCCGGTTCTATGGCCAACCGGATAACATATACAAAAAAAATCAGGAATCACAAATACAGGTACCTACATAATATGGTTTGAAATTATATTTTTGAAAATAGATATACCTCATATAATTTATATATACCTCTAACCGAGCCTCTAACTATACCTATACATGTTTTCATTACATTTGTTTTTGTGTTTGTGGTAATACTGATGATAGTCGAAAGTGGAATTAGGACTGTCAAAGAATTCGATTAGAATCAAAAAGATATAGGTAAAATCAGCCAAGTGCATCATTTTGCTCTCAACATTATTTTGGAATCCTAAAAATATTACACCACATCTGTTCCCACATTTCACGAATTTTTGATATTGGCACAAACAAAATCTGTAGAGATATGAGAAATACCTCCACTTATCGAGCCATTTATCAAGATATCATCAAGCTTTAGTTTTCCATTTCCTTAGGGAAAACATGCCAGATTGGTCGAAAAACGCTCAAAATAATAATCCGACAAATAATCTAGTTATCATGCCGCTTAAAAAACGAATTGATTCTTACTTTATAATTTTCATCGCTGACAGCTGCCTATCGCACGCTCACTTTCATTTTTTAGGGAAATCAAATCTTTCACGACATTCTAAGACAACAAATCAAAACAGGATCAAAACCGCGTAGTCGCTCCTCTGTGTTGATATGAGGAGTTTAGCGCTCTCTACTGCTACGGTTACGGAACGTTTTTACTTGACTGCGGAGTGCGGAACAAAACCGGTGGATTTTCATTTCGACGTGTTTTCTTTGCTGCCTGCCAGCAGATGAAGCTATCGTTACTATGGTTACAGCCGGGTGATACGGCAAACTAGCCATCTAGCGGTGATTAAACGAATCACCACATGCCTGGCTGCGTCTGAATAGTAGCGATTTGCAAATTAAGAATACTTGTCAGAGTACAGGTTTGTATATGCAACTGGTATTTTCCAGAAGTTGCAATGCTGGTTGCGGACTTCTCATATATGAATGAAGCGTGTTCAACGGATAGAGAACCTATTCCTTTATGGGTTTGATTTCATTCAAATAGGGGTAGGGGATGATATGTGATATCATATTATCATGAAAATGAAATCAGAACTACATATTTTAAAATTTTTCAGAAACAGCAATTTTTGAATATCCATCTCAGATGGCGCTAAGACTTCGGTAATCTTCGTGTGGTCTCGTTTGGCGGTTTTTTTTACTGCGCAGTCTCCGTTAAGCAAAATTCACCATTTTATCGTTGTTTGCACCACCTGCGATCCGGTGCGAATGTTTAGTTACTAGTTACTGGATATCCTCCGAAAATTCTGGTTTTACTCGCCATTCAGTCAATAGAAAATAGTGCTAGTTACTCCTATAAGCAAACATTTACAAAATGAGTACTGAAAACGTATCGCCTGTCCTAAATCTAGAAAAATGTACTGTAATTTTACTCGATGTTGCCGGCACCACCACATCACATAGCTACGTAAAGGTGAGATAATTTTTCTATTTTTTGTCTACACGAAAAAACAGTTGAATGTTCACAAGTTCTTGTTGATAGAAATGTTCAATTATTGTACTAGATACTTGGACAATTTTTTCTTTCATCTATCAGGTTTGTCTGTTTTGTTCATTTTTTTATGGCATGGATGCCTGGATGCCGGACAATTCTCATTCATTTGATTACAATTTTCAGCGATAATCCGTTCGTAATACATGTGTAAAAATAGCTCTGATTTTTAACACGTGTTCTTAATTTAAAAGTTGTGTTGTCGTCCTTGAAAATTCAGCCCCTTGTACCATACATAGTGCATTCACATCTGGGTACAGCCGATTCAAGATGCCTTGCAACAATTCGCAATTTATGCAGATCTGAATTCAGGTATTTTGGACCTTTAGAATCGTCGGCCATCAGCTGTGTCGTGGGTTTTCCAGGAAGGGGATTACTGTTACTATTGTTTGGCAGATGGTATTTGAAAAGATCTCATATTTGGGGTACCTGATACCTGCTAAGGATAGGTAGGTACTATATTGGAATTGGTTGAAACTTGAAATACTCAGTTCAAATACAAAGGTACCTAGTGAGTTGTATAACTTGTATATCAAATCAAATGCTCTGTTTACTGTTTTCATTTAAAACTACCTATTTATGTAACAAGCGCCAAACTGGACTTTTTGGCTAAGAATGAGAATTGCAATGAAATTAAAGATAATTCATTATCAGTGGCGTACCCAGAAGTATACCATGTGGGAGGGGAAGGGGGTAATTAATAATTACTAAGTGGCTTAAAGTGAAAAGGTTCTTTCCAAAAAGGCACTACACTATGAATCAGCTGATATTTCCTGCAGCTACACCAACGAATTTCAAACGGACAATGAAAATTGAATTGAAGAGGAAAAGCACAATTTTAATTTTAAAATGCCATATCTAATGTAACTGATTTCCCGGTATAGGTAAATATCTATTATAAATATGCTCATAAATGTATTTCCAGTGTAATTCACACCTGCCCAAGACCAGGTGGAGATTAAATACACTGGTGTGAAATGCACTTTTCAAAAGAATGCTCAAATACCATTTTTCATACAAAAGAAAGGGCCTAAAGGAAATCGGAGTCTTTCTATCAGCATAAGTGTCCTCATATTATTCCCTGTATTATTCGTTTGTGCACGCAAAATTTTGTTTCTGTAACTGTTGAAAAAAAGTGACCTGGTTTTGTGTGGGTACACAGTTGAGAATGTCATAATACTTGCTTTTACAGAAAACTGTATTATTGGAAATGAAGTAATTGGCATATGATATTAATTACCCAATTCCATCGAAAATTTCATGCAATACATATCTCCGCCATATCCATATGCTTATTTTTTTCTTCAATTCAAGTTATATTTCCAAATGAAAAATGAGAATAGGCAACATTTCACAAGGCATTTCATCTGATAAGTATTCAGATATACATGCAAAGTAGCAGGAAAAAACTGTTGGTAATAATTTAATGCGAATTTTATTTTATAAAAATTAAGCAAATTCTACAATGGTGTGGGCAGTGTCTGGAACAAGTGAGATTCAACTCATTGTGTAGAATTAAAAAATACATTCATGGCTGCTAAAACTGAGTCAAAGTACATACAAATCACTTTGTATAATACATGGTATTATTTTTGATGAAAAAGTATTCAGTCAGAACCTGTGAAAACATAATCAGGACCGAATTTGAAGAAAAAAAACTTCACATATATGAATCAATATCACCACATTAAATCTAATCAAATGTTGCTCAGTTCTGTCGTATATCCAGTTATAAGGTAGAAACGGATTTTCCAATTCACCCATTTTCAAAACGACTGAAAAACTAAATAGTTTTGAAAAATTTCAAAGGCTGTTGAAACTACCCTGGGAATAAGTGACTATTTTCCCATTTAACCGTCTTTGTATCCTACCGTTTTCGAGATCCTGAAAGATAGTAACAATTTGTTTGTCATAGAAACTGAGAAAAAATCCTAATCTCCAATTAACCTACAGATGAGGTCATTAAATTTTGTTTATTTTTCACTTGTCCATATCTGCTTCATAATGGTTGCTATTGACAGACCCATAACGCCCGCAAATTGTTTTTTTTCTGTAGTTCATAATATTTATGTATCAAAGGCGTAAAGTAGGCCCTCGGCTAACGCCATCGGGCCATTATTCACGCCGCAGGCCATAAACGCATTTTACGCACGTGATACATACAAAATTTTATAAACTAGTGGTTTATTTCTCGAGTCAAAAGTAATGACTAGGTTTCAACAAACTACAATTCATATGTTACTCATAAATTCAGTTTTCAAGAGAAGCGCAATGTTTATGTGTATAATCTACATATTAAAATTACCGTACGAATTTCGCAATTATAGTAAGAGTAAAACTCTTTGTTCACTAACAGATATTCATTCCTTGAGATGTAACAATATGTATACCCAGTATATAGCTACCTAAATTTGACGTAGTCAATCAATCTGATGGTTGCTGTCTAGCAATACATCCAAAAAACAAGCTGAATTTGTCATCTTTTGGCTAAAAACTTCAGACAGCCAGAAAGCAAATGGATGTGTGGATATAAGGGACTTGAGAACAGCGGGCGGGTAAAGTGCACTTTATGGCCCGTGGGCGATAATGGACTCGCGGGCGGTAAAGTACCACTTTACTCCCGCAAATCTCGGCGATAAAGTGCACGTTACCGCCCGCTAGGGCATAAAATTACATTATTTTTCACTTTTCCATTACTGCTTTATAATACCTTGGCAATGGTTGCTATCCTTTTGCTATTAACAGACCCATAATGCAAGATTACACAAAGAAAGCAGCAATGACATTCATTAAATTAAATGATGACAGCAATATTCAACAAACTTCAAAATATCAATGCCTACCACGAGAAGAAAAATAGAAAGAAAATGCTATGAGCAATGAACCACTTCTTGAAATCGATTTTTCATTATAATAAGATGATTTTTTCGTGAAGAATAAAATCTTGTATGAACCTGGTACAAGGTGATTCGCTATAATTGCCCCCTCCCCTCTAGCTCAATTACTTTTTAACCGATTGCAAAATTTTCATCTAAAATGATTTTCGATAGAGTTTTTTTCCGCTACATCAGAAAATACAAGGTGCTCGGCTCGGAACAAATGATCTACAGGGTACTATTAAATGGAACACCGTATTTTTCATTGTATTTTTAGATTCTCCCTGAGAGCTGATTTCATCAATGTATCACACTTGGGTGTAGCGAAAATTATTACAGAAATATAGGGTGTTCAAAATCGAGATATTTCAACTCTAGGATTTTTTGTGGCGAAACTATTCATTATTGGTCAAAACGGCTTTCATGTCCGTATCTTAACTTTTGATTTACTATCTACTAACATTTGATAATTGGAACAGATACAGGGTGATCAGAATTCTGAATCTTGAACCACACTGTAAATGTTCCAATTAAATGCCAGTAGATATTAAATCAAAAGTTGAGACAGGGACATTGAAGCCGTTTTGAGCGATAATGAATAGTTTCGACACAAAAAAATCTTAAAGTTGAAAAATCTCGATTTTTGAACACCCTATATCTCTGTAATCATTCCCGCTAGACCCCAAGTGTGATGCATTGATGAAATCAGCTCTTCAGGGAGAATCTAAAAATATAATGAAATGCAGGGTGTTCCATTTGAAAAAATCAAATAGTACTCTGTAGGTCTCTTGTTCCAAGCACCCTGAATTTTCTGATGCAACGGGAAAATTTTATCTGAAAAATCATTTCAGATGATTTTTCGAATTTCTAAATCGGTTCAAAAATAAGTGAGCTAGAGGGGGAGACATTTATGGTGAATCGCCCTGTACATAAATATCTATTTTGTTCAAACTCTATTTCAACATAATTCAATAGATATTAATGTTTGCTATGTTTGGGTCAGTTTTGCATAATGATCGTTTGAGCTTGAAATGAAAATAAATAATAATTTTTTCAATGGAACTTTCATAGGATACCCTTTTGACTTTTGTGTCCAAACAAGCCGAAGAGTATCTGAAGACCAACTGGGATGACAGTTCTGTCAAAGAGGCAGTCAAAGCTCTGAAAGATGATTCTCTTGATCTTGCCGCCGCAAGCTCTCTAGTCAAGGAGCTCTCTGAGAAAAACGACGAAAATGTGGGATTGAAAACCATTCAAGGGCTGATCTACAAGAGCGGATATGACAGCGGTGATCTCAAAGCACAGTAGGTTCTGATTGGTTCCCTAAAAGCATGTGTTGTTTTCTATGTTAGCATCAATGTAAATTGAGCAGTATCCCCAAATTTATTTGCTATGAGGCTCAAGCGCTCAAGTGCAACATATGTTTATATCAAGTACTAGGTTATGAATTCTCTAAACTATGATGCCTTGAACATCTTAGTTATCTAAACTAAGTGAAACTAACATTCAAGACCTTGAAAACAAGTATTTATTGACAACTGCATGATTCACATTGAAATCAGGATGTTCAAATTTGACATCCTTTAGTTGTGTAGACGAATTTTACAAATGAGTATATATATTCAAGGCAGTTTTAGAAGATTTAAAATATATCATTTCATTCTTGCATATTTGAATTATGTATGTAGACTTTCTGAAATATATCTGAATTACACATTCATGAACCGGGCGGAGTCGTATCTTGGTAAATATTGAAATTTGAATAGATACTTGAGAACTTTTTTGTATCATGTGAAGAACTAGGAAATGAAGAACTTTGGAAATTCAACAGGAACACTATGTATTTTTTTAATCCATTATTGAAATGGAACCTCAATATCAAGTCTTCATATCACTCATTTATGTGAAAAACATCAAGGAATTGAGATTGTTTATCTATACAGGGTGTTTCAAAACTCTGTATCAAGATTTCAGTAGCTTATTCTTCAGATAAAAATGAAAGTTTTTTCTATAAACATATTCAGATCAAATTTGGTACATAGGCTACTAGCTTATTCTTCAGATAAAAATGAAAGTTTTTTCTATAAACATATTCAGATCAAATTTGGTACATAGGCTACGTTTTAGGGCTCAGATTATACAGTATGTCAAATGATTGTAAGAATCCCTTTTTTTCTTCATAAACTTGTTAGTTGTGCTTCACTGGTAGATATTAAAATACTGAATAATTTATTTATTTGTTTGTAAACTTTCTTGTTACTTGTAATTTTTACGCCATTATTTGGAAAATTGAAAAAATCTTGAAGCTTCAATCCTCTGTATATCGGTATCCGTTTTGTCGGCATAAATTTGAATGGCAGAGAATAAACAATGCTGACAATACAGTGTTCGGGCATGTTTCCGTGTGATATCCCGAAAAAGACTTGGAATAATATTACTAATATAGATGAAAACAAGTTGATGTCAAAGAAGTGTAATAAAAATTATTTTTTCTCAGCGTTTTCTCCGATGTCCCTTCTTGCCTTGAGTCGTGGGCAAAAACCCGCAAAATCGCCATTTTCTCTACCGGTAGCGTGGACTCGCAAAAACTGCTGTTCTCGCACACTACAGAGGGTGACATATCAGCACATATCTCCAGTTATTTCGACCAAACCGTCGGCAAAAAGACGGAAGCCAGCAGCTATGAGAAAATCGCCAAGGAATTGGAAGTCAAGCCAGAAGAAATCTTGTTTGTCACTGATCTAGTTGCAGGTATGTCAATATTCCAATTTTAACTTCCTATGCCAATATTTATTTTTCATTTTATGACGGGAAATGAGTTTAAACATTTTGTCTTGACAGCAAAAATTTCCATTCATGAAATTGCTCTTTTTTCTGGGTACATCACTGACCTAACTTACTGCTACTGTAGTTGATATTTTCTTGAACCTTAATCCACAGAATGTGGTTAACAGATATGATATGAATTTTCTTGCCTTAACTGTTTTCACTGGTTCCATTGATCGAAGTTGTATTCCTTTTTACATTTCTATAAGTTTCTGAATCTACAGCCACTTGTAATCATAGAACTAAGTCACAAATAATTCAAAATCTGGCAGTGAATTCAATCTGGCATTCAATAAAGAATGTATTGTCTTGACAACATTGAAAATTTACTGGATTTTTTCGCAAAAAGTGCGTGTATTTGACATGCAGGCGTCTTTTTGTTGATTAATACATGCCTATTCTGAGAACCAATGAAATTTCTTCAATTTCCTGGAATAGGACAATCAACAGGCATTTGTCATGATAAAAAAAGCTACCTTGCTTTCCTGATAACCGATATATACATATATGCATACCTTGCTTTCAATCAACACACTTCTATATACTTTGACAACAATTTATTGTCACCGGCACTACCATAAGATAATTTTCGAGTTTTCTTGGAACAACGTATATTGTGGTTGTGTATGTTTTTATTGATAAATATATTTCAAATTGTATTCAAATTTTATCATCAGTCAAGGGAAGTAGAAAAAATCGCTCCAGCAAGCTCTCGCGATTTTTTCACTACCTTGATTCTGCATTGTTTGCCATGACAATAAAACTTTCATACAATTATACATTTATTTATCAATAAAAAGATTATGTCCTGATAAAAATAAAACTTGTTTGATTGAAATTTGTTATTTGGCACTTCACTTTTTCCTTGTATAATATTTGTTGCTGTGGCATATTGAGAGTGTTATTTTAATTTGCTCTCAACAAAGGGCAATTTTCGGTTCATGGAATTACTGATACCATCTTGAGTCCAAACATAATTCAAGCCAAGCGGAATTTGCTATTTTCAATATTTTTTACGTGCCGATCACTGTTTCTCATATTTTTAGTGAGTCAGCAACAAAATGAGATGACATATTCTTATGAATATTAATTTGCTGATTAGTATGTATCTGCACGACACTAATGAGTGTATTTGCATGGTTATAAATTTACTGTCTGTGAGGTGGGAAATAAAATCAAGAGCTGATTATAAAATGATTTTAATTTGATAGAGTTGTCAAAAGAAGAAATGTCATAATTTCACCATTGAAATTAAAGGATGTGTATAAATGTATTAGTTATATGTGTAGTCAATTTTTCAATTTACCCTATATAAAATGTATAAGTTTTGATTCATAATAGAATGACAAAAGTATATGGCTTGCCAGAATATTTTTCGTCATAATTATCTTGCATCGAATTTTCAAAATTCACTGAATATATAAATGCAAATAATGTCTGAACCATGAATAATATTTAGTGATATAAATATATGTCAATTATACAGGGTGACACTCGGCAACCGGACGATTTTGAAATAAGTGTTACACAAAGAATTGGTTTTATTTGTATTTTTAGATTCTCCCAGAAGAGCTGATTCCATCAATACATCACACTTTGGCGTAGCTAGCAGAAATTATTACAAAGATATAGGGTGTTCAAAATCGACAATGACTTGTTATCTGAGGAAGGCGGAAAAATCATAGCTATAACATGGTTGTAAAGTGCCATTTCCGACCTTGAATGATTACTTCATCCTCGGGAGGAAAAGTGTTTCTTTCACTTTCCTCCGTTGTTACACAAATAGCGATTTCCAATTTTTGTGGTGAAATTGCAAATAATTAGTAATATCGAAGTGATGGCTAAAAGTTACACTCAGATAAAAATCGAACTTTCTTTAACATTTTTGAATACAGCATAAAAAGTGTAGGTAAATATGTATACCAAATTCCCTCGTTTCATCTCAAACTGATTCGAAAACAACGTAAAAAACATCTTAGGAAAGCTTCCAGGAAAACAAATCTATAGATAATAATTCTCATTTCATTCGTTGACGTTGCAGAGGCGGAAGCGGCTAAATCCGCAGGATTGTTGACAGCCATCATTGCCCGAGAAGGCAACGAAAAGTTGCCGGAAGACGCCGCTAAGGAATATCCCGTCTTCAAGAGCTTCGAAGATTTCGTTTTCGAAAAAGCGGCCAAACGCAAAAACGAAGAGGCCGCCGCCACAGAGGTTCGTTCAAGTAAAAGTAGAAGGCATAGATGAAAGTTTGTAGCTGGATTTGTAGAGGGTTGTCGTTGGAATAGACTAATCTCTTTTTCTATATAGGTCCTTTTTTATTTTTTATTTATGCCAATGACCTTCTTTCATGTATTGGAACATGAATTACTGACAATATTATATGCAGATGATACGTCCTTTTCTCTCCACCTGTATCCTTTAGGCACAGATATTGAAGATATTTCAGCAGACATTGCCCATGCAAAACAATGGTTTGATAATGAATTCTTTTTTAATGAAACATGAACAGAGGTATGTCTATTCTCAAATTATTACAAAATCCACTCCACTAGATCACAATCTCGATCACAATCGATAAAATTCTTGGCCCAAACATATTGATAACATCTGTAGTAAATTAGCAAGATCAGTTCTTGCCATTAGGCGCATAGCTTGAACCATTGTCTGCTAAATATGGAGAAAAAATCTAGTGAGCTGTAGTATCTGGTCTGCCCAAACAAGGGAAATCACCTACAGGGTTCTGTGGCCGATACAGTAGTACCGCCATACGGTCAACTCGAGGAAACACTCATTTAAAATGTTTTCCTGTCGAACCTACATAACCTTAAAAATCGTAAATGAGTTGAGCCTCCCTCAGTGGTGATCTCGGCAGTCTCGGACGGCGGCGTAGTTTGTTCAGTGAGTTTCGAGTTCAGTCACGACATTCACGGGTCACGGTCTCTCAGTCACTCAAAAATTCAAAATTCATGTAGTTGTGGAGATATCACAGATATGTAGAGACCGAGCCCCTTTACTGGCATACTGGCCCTTACAGCTCTGGGGTCCGATTCTCGAATCTGTAGGAATTAGATCCTATAGGAGAATGATCCAATGCTTTCAGTTCTCATAGGAAATGATGATTTGTCATGACACCTATTCTTGAACCAGCTGGAATCGTTTTTCCCATGAGAGGTAGAATCAGTAGTATCGATTATTAGCATTTGATAAAAGCTCTGATTTTTCTTACTTGTAATGATCCTGTCTCAATAACGAATGTATTCACTTATGTCACAAAGAAATATCACTTGGAAATCCATGAATGGAGATGGTTTCACAATTTCTGGTAGGCACAATAAGAGGAGACAGAGTTTGTTACACACTGATAATCAGAATAAACTACTATAATACTTGGAGCACAACACAAAACTATATCTATAAACGGAAGGAATATTCTATGGAATATTAGAACAATGAGAATTGAAAAAGAATGATATTTTAGAAAAAAATACGAAACAAGTCACGATGGCATGACAGCTCTTGACACTGACATCTAGTGACAACTTACATAATCACAAATTTCGAAAATTTTCTAGAAAAAAGTGAAGATCATCGTATGATACGGTAACATCCTCTAGTGGTCATACACTCAACTGAGCTATAGGGAAGACCAGTAATTCCAGCTCACTAGATTTTTTCTCCATATTTAGCAGACAATGGCTTGAACTATGAGCCAAGATGCTGCCCTAACAGCATATATGTAATGTTTCATTCAGTGATGAGGTTGGGTTCCTGTGATGGGGTAATTCGAGCTTCTCACACCTTCAAAGAGTTTTTACACTCCAAAAAGCTGCTGTACGAAGCATTGCAAAGGTTAATTATACTGAACATTGCCTATGAAAATCTCATACATGTTACAAAAATTATATACATTCACCACACACTCAGGCTTCATGATGATAATACCAGATAACATGTACCTCATAGAAGAAGATTAGAAAAGAGCAAATCCATAGGAATATAATAATAATAATAAATGATTTCATTGTCTCAATGGAACAAAAAGCAGAGTTCAACTCGCCAATAAATCGACAGCTGCTCTTCCACTCAAGATTCTTGTTGGAATGAGTATCTACAAAATCAACAACTCTAGTGAGTTGATCAATGACTCTTGTAGACAACTAGTGCTATTTTAATTTTGATTGATTTTATCACTTGAACTTTTTTTGTTTGTAACTCCTGTTTCACGTGTCCATAACCTGTATATCATGGATGTAATATTATTCTATTCTATACAATTGGTTGGATTACAAAAGACTACTATTAAAACAGTCAACGATGGTCATGATTATTTATACAGGGTGCTTTCAAATATGAGGCATCTACTTTTACATGATGTATATTTGATCAAAATGAACTACAAATTATAGTTTCTCGCAATTATAGGAAAATCATTTCTAGACAGTTATAATTCTTGATCCAACTGCGAATTGGGGGCGAAAATATGACCGAATTTTCATCAGAAAAAAATATCACTGTAATTCAGGACATGACGTGAAAATGAGCGATTCTGAAAACAAGAGTGGAATAGTCAAAATAATTTCTATTATGGTTTATCTTGTCACTATCTCTCATACAACACACCCCAATTTATTAAACTTTCTGTCATGTATAAATGAAAAATTCACATACTTATTAGACAGTTGGTGAGTGTGAACATGACTGAATTCTTCTAATTTTGTTCTTAGTAATATTTTATCTTATCGGTATTTGTAGTTTCATGAAAAACATAGAACTATCCTTCATATATCTCGTTTTTATTCAAGCCAATTTTAAATAATTATCCACTTAGACGTCATAATTTTGAAAATTTCAAAGGCAAAACAGGCTTATCACGTTTTGACTCAGTGGTTTCGACTATTGTTGATATTTTTTAATACATTCATATGGCTGGGTGTTTCTCACAACATAATAATATTTATAAGAGCTCTGGCCATACCATGATATAAATTGAAATTTTATCATTGTCAATTAATATATTTACTCTGATAACACTTTATAGATGCTATTATATTTTACTGATTCAAAGAAAGATGCATTTGAATAGTTTTTCATTCTTGAACCCATTGAAGTAGTTCACATTTACCATGACCTTGAGAAAAGTAATTCTGCAGGAACTGATGAGGGAATACTCAAAATTCCAAAACAGAAATCTTCTACTGTTTAGAAATGATATCCAGATTCCCTGAAACATAGTTCTTGTTATGGAGGACAAGTAGTAACAAAAATAAAACGTGGCAAGTTTCTCCTCAATCCCATCAGAAATCATCGTTCTTGTTGGATTATTCAAAATTCATTAACAGTGTGGTCCTTGATATTTCCTCCTGATTAATATTTCTTTTTGCTAGATTGTTTGGGATTTTCTCGTCGTTCCTATAAAATGAAAATATGAGTAGGTATCATTTCAATTTGCATGTAGTAAGGACAAAACAGATAAAAATGTCACTGCGTTTACAAATTTTATTATCAGAGAGCCTAAAAAATAATTCAATTGTTTGTCAGTGACACTTTATTGGTCTAAAAATTCGTATGTAGAAATGTATTGAAAAAATATCTTTGGACGTTTCGGAAACGAATCTGCTTGGGTATATGAAATAATACTGATATTTTTTGTTATGGAAACGAGGAGAAAATCCCAAATATTCTAGCAAAATGAATGTACCTACAGATAGTATTTAAGCATATTTCATCCTATTCAATGAGTCAAGAGAGCACATTGAAAAAACATCAGTGATTGGACATTAAAAACTAAAATAGAATATTTTTAGTGTTCCATGTATAAAGCATCAACATTTTTGTCAGATAGTGAAATTTTATTTTCAATATATTTTCCATAATTTTGAAAACCATGTTTTATAATACTATAAATTGGGTTAAAATTGAACTACCAACAAATTTTTTGTCACCAGTTGATGAAATTAAATTTCAATGATTAGTCTATTCTCGATAACCTTCACATTTTTTCCATGAACTAAAAATGTATTGTGTTGTGAAGTAGTCATAGTTCCAGTAGTTCTAGTTTTCTAGTAGCTTTTAGAATTATTGTTAGTATTATGAAAATTGTATACCAAATAAATTCTGTTGTGACAGTTTATCTTTTTTTTCTGTATCTTCTTGTTTCAATCTTCAACAATGTCATCTCATTTCATTCTTCATTATCTCTTGCTGTCCGTTTAGGAGCAACCGCCTTCGAAAGTCGCTAAGACTGAAGAAGTGAAACCAGCCAAAGAAGAGCCTGCAGAGGAAAAGCCATCAGAAGAGGCCAAACCAGCAGAAAAATCTGCTGAGGCAGCACCATCTGTGGAGCAAATCGAGGATGAAGCTATGGAGGTTGACGCCCACGAAAAAACTGAAGGTTTGTTTAACAAAATTGATAGGTTTCAGGTTGAAAATCAATTCATTGAGTGAAGTAATGATTGAATCTATACTAATATTATAAAGAGGAAAGATTCGATGGATCGATTTGGTAGCTTAAAACCAGGGGAAGGTTATAGGATACTTTTTAACCCGGTACCATTGGGAAATTCAAGATGGCGGATCCATATCGGACGAGTTTTGTGATGATGGTCCGATTCTATTCAAAATTGGTATCTGGGGGTTTTCGGGGTCGGATATTATGATTCTTTCGTCAGAATTTGAAAATTTGGGCGGAATTTGGAGATGGCGGAACCAATATGGCTGAAGAGTTTTGTAATTATAATCCGATTCCCACATCAATAGCTTCAATGACATTCTGTTTACCAGTTAACCTGAACTCAATACTTGGAGAGATGTGTTCCTGTGATTTGCAGTGTCTATCCAATCCGCGAGGCAAATTTTTCAAATCATTATATCCTAATCGACCCCCAACATGATGACTTATCGGTTGAAAATAATACACAGTACCAACAAAATAGCTTATTCCTTACCTCAGATCCCGTCAACCAGATATATTTTTTATAATTATTAGAATTGAACGAACGATTTTGTTTGCTACCTGTTACAATCAGTTCTTTTAATTCCGGTGTCGGACGTTTGTGTTTCAAAATCAATTCATCTTCATAAGACAAAGCACTGAATGGGTTCTCCAAAAAGTATTCCACTAAATCGCAATAGTTTGAAACACTCATTTTTCAGAAATTTATAGAGCCCCTAACCATTAACCTAACATAAACAATGCACTCGCACTAGACGCGACGCGACACGACAAACACGTGCTATTCGGGCAAATCCGGGCATTTGCATTACGCGCGTGGGTTGCGCATGTGAAGGAGTCTAGCCTCCTATAGATGTTGCCAAGTTGAATATTTTACGCGTGATTTGCAGAATTCAACGTGTGATGCGTGGGCAAGCACTGTTGCCAATTCAAAAATATTTACCTAAAGACAGGAAATAAAATGAAAATCCATGTATTCTGGTGTCCTTTTGATGAGAAAGTATAGATAATATCAGTTTAAGGAGAATCTCTGAGAAGGCTCAGCCTCTGTTGCCTCCTCTGAGGAGCTGCCACTGACCTAAGGGTTTTCGTCAACGGGGATTATAATTCATTCGTCAAAATTAAGAAATTCAAGATGGCAGATTTTGTAATTAGGATCCGATTTTATTCAAATTTGGTATCTGGTGGTTCTCGGGGTCGGAGATGGTGATTCTTTCGTCAAAATTAGGAAATTCAAGATGGCGGTCCCAATATGGCTGACGAGTATTGTAATTATGATCCGACTCTCTTCAGAATTGTTATCTAGGTGTTCTCGAGGTCGGAGATTATGATTCTTTCGTCGAAATTTGGAAAGGGCGGTATTTGGAAATTCAAGACGGTGGAACCAATATATCGGATGTTTTGTAATTATATACCGATTCTATTCAGAATTTGTAAGTGGGCGTTTTCGGGATCAAAAATTATGATTCCTTCATCAAACTTAAGGAATTCAAGATGATAGATCCAATGTTGCGGACGGGTTTTGTAATTATGTTCCGATTCTATTCAAAATTTTCATCTGGGGTTTTAGGAGTCGGATATTATGATTCTTTCGTCAAAATTGGGAAATTCAAGTGAAAAAGAAGTTGAAATGAATAATAGTTTGAAAAACTCAAGAAATACGCTTTTATAGATAGCAAAACTAAAAAGAAGTAGGAAATAAAATAATAATAGTGTCTTGATGAATATTGAACCGAAAGAATATATTATAGAAATAATGTATATAGCAAAACAACGTTTACAAGGTCTGCTAGTATTTTATATTTCGCTAATTCAAACTAATTGATAACCAAAGTGGGCATTTAATCATTTTAGAAATCAAATATTTTGCGAAATACTATTCTGATTCTTGTGTTGTTCATTTATTGATGTAGCAAAATTCCTTGGGAATAGAATTATTCAATATTCATCCCTATTAGGTTCAAGAGTCAAGATCTACATAGCCAAATCTAGATTCCAATAAATGTGTTTTTAATCAATCCGAATTACTAAGTAAATATAAAATTTTTTGGGGGCATATTGTTTGTTTGATGTGTTTTAAAAAACGTTTAACTTGAAAGAATTACCAATGTTGGATTTTTTTTTCAGAGAAAGTGGCTAAACCAGCTACGTCAGAGAAGTCCGTTGAACCGACAAAAGAACCAGTACCAGAAACCACTGCTAAACCTGCTGAGCCAACCGAAACTGAAAAACCGACTAAAACTGTATCAGCCCCTGAAAAGACTGAAGAAAAGCAAGCTGAATCCAAGACTGAAGAGAAAATAGAAAAACCACAGACTGAAGCCAAACCAGTAGTAGAATCCACAATGGAATGTGACGAAGTTGCAGAAAAAATCGAGAAAAATGTCGAAAAAGTTGAAGAAAAAACGGAAGTAAAAAAAGTTGAGGAAACAGAGAAAGAAAAACCAAAAGAAGCTAGCAAAACTGCAGAAAACAAAGAAACTGTTGTTGAAGAAGACAAAATCTGTGATAAACCAGTAGAAGAAAAGAAAGTAGAAGTTGAAACAAAAACAGTAGAAGATAAAGTAACTGACAACAAAGAGAAAACGATAGAGGCAGCTTCTGAACCAACTGAGACAAATTCCAAGAGCCAGGAAGAAAACAAAACAGAAGCTACCAAAGTAGAGGACACCAAACCAGAAATAGAAGAAAAGAAAGCTGAAGAAACTAAACCAGAAGCTGCTAAAGCAGAAGAACCCAAACCAGATGCTGCTGAAGTAAAAGAATCTAAACCAGAAGAAGTTAAACCATCAGAAGCGGCAAAAAAAGAAGAAACCAAACCCGAAAAAGAAACCTCAACTGTTGAAAAAAGTAAACCCGTTGAGGAAAGTAAGACAGCACCAGCAGAAAATGGAACAGAGAAAACAGAGAATGGTACTTCAGAAGAAGAGACGAAGGTAGTCGAGAAGGAGAAGGAGAACAAAAGCGAGATGGCGAATGGCATCGAGAAAGAAACGACCAATGGCGTCGCCGATGAAGAGAAGCAGAACGGCGAAAAGGAAGAATCGTCCAGCAACGTAGAAGAAATCAAAGCGAAGAAAATCGAAGAGCCTTCTGCCGAAAGTGCTCCCCCTGTAAGTGTGGAGGTTTAATTGTTTATATCTAATGCGTTTCGATGTAAATGTATACATTTGTAGTGCTCTTTTTTATTTATTATCACGGAACTCTATTTTTAAGAAGCTTTCTTGGTTTTCTACAGGGTGCTCTGCTATAGAATGACATTTCAATATAATGATTATTGTTTTTGTGGGTTTGCCCTGTAGATAGATCTATATGCGTTTCTGTTTTATATTTGTGAGAGATTTTCTAGTTTGATGATTTTTTCCTGTGTTCCGATGGGAAGGGAAAAAATGTTTCTAAAATGTGCCAACTGAGTTGAAGACTGGATCCACATTAAGACTGCATTGGCATTTTATCAACTTTTAATATCACAATCAGTATTTTCGTTTGCCACTTTTGGAAATTGACTTATTGAGACGGAGGATGTTCTAGGGTCAGTATTGCTTTTTTCTTGGCTGTGTTTGGTATTTAATAAATTGTCTTCATTTTCTACAAAAAAGGGGCAAACGACCAACCTATTTTAATTCTGTATCATTGTCTCTGTGTGTATTGTTAACATTCCTCGTTTAATGTATTTTGACTGTCTTATTAATTTTTTTTTATTGAAAATACTCATTGCTTAGATCTTGATAATCATTTCTCTTAGCGTTTTCCACTCATTATGTGATAAACAAAGAAAAAATATGAATTGGTAAACATCACATTTCGAGCGATTTTTCTTGTGTTAACTTTTCTAGTTTTTAAGTATTATTTTGGTGTACAGGCCTATGATAAGTGGCTGCAACTCTTGTATACGTTCAAGCTCATTAAAAGTTTTGTAGCGTTATGTATGCATTTTTGTTTCATTTCAAACTGCATTCATTTTTTTCCAAGTTGGGAAAAACCCAAAATCTAGGGATTATCATAATAATTTTCTTTTGTAGTGGAATTGCAGAATGCAAAAATAGATGAAAACAAACTGGAATTTTTATGTTTGCTATCAATTTTTATAAAATACCAGTTAATAGTCAATGTATTCACCAACTTCGGATTTGGAATGTAAGTAGAAAACATATGATGCAGGAATAGTGTCAAGAAGTACAAATGTCTATGAAATAACATCACTTAAACTTTCGTTCATTTCTAGATCTTTATTCAAATTAAACTTTTCCAAATTAAAACATCTTGTACAGCGTTTCGATCAGGTTAAAGCAGAGTTCATAGACTCTATAGTTCCGGTAAAATTTGCATGAAACCTCTTAGCTTGCGATGCGGGCTAAGCTATACGCCCGGTATCGAGCATTGCCATTGCGGAAAATTGCAATGTTAGCATCGATTCCAAATATAAATAGATTCCGAATCGATAAGCCATTCATTACTGATTATCCATTATTATTGAGTTACTCATTACTGATTACTAATTCATTACTATTTGATTATTACTAAACTATCTTGGCTCTTCATTTGGGGATGAATATGGTTGGGTGGTGAAATGATCAAAATCCTCTTATCAAGCCAAGCGAGTAGCCAAGTTGCGATCCATAGGAGGGCAACATCTGAGTTGCGACATGTGGTGGACACGCCGTTTGCCAAATAATCTACCAAAACCATCTGAGTTGCGACAATCATTTCCCACGAGAATGAAATCATACTAGTGAAAATTTAGCATTCTGTGCGAGTTGAACACTACTTTTTCTACAGCTAACAGATTTTCGATCTCTTCAGCTTGTAGTCATCTGATTTTCCAAGTAATCCCTATAAGACGAGGCTGTCATTGCTTGAAATTTTATATTTCATGTGAGATGAGATTTTGTGAAATAATAACACAATGACGTCATGTGATATCAAATGCGGAAATGAAATTGATGACGTACAAAGTACCTCATTGGTAAGAATAATATAGAAAAAATACTTTCAATTTAATTGTTATGGTTTCCCTGAATTTTAATCACGTCATATAGACTGATATAGCGCTATACACATTTTTTGGATATGGGTATAATTTTTTGCTTTGAAGAAATAGTTATTTATTTATACAAGGGAGAAAAGTAGTAGATTTTAGCTCCAGATTGTGAAAACCGTGAGCTAAAATCTAATATTTTTCCCGTGTATAATACACTATTTTTTTTTCTGTGACAGAAGAAAGGACGAATCAATATTGAAAGATATTACATTATTTTGAAATCTGAAAATTATCGACGTGAAATTTCAGTTATTAACAGTAGGGACACCTGTGTTGTAGGCATCTTTATCACTCTTATGAAGTAATCAAATATCTGATGTCACTTCTGTCAGACTAATTCTGTGATTTGATTTCAAAAAATAGCGAATTCAGTTGTTGTTTAGTAATATACGTAACCGCGGCGCGAAGTCGAATGGAAGATAAAAGGACTTGCAGTTCTTTCTCGGAGACGGTATTATTGACTCATTTTTCAGAAATATAGCACAACAAAAGCCATCAACAGTGTATATATATGTGATATATATCCGGGAAGAAAGTTCTCACTTTTTTCCCACGGGAAAAAAGTAATTTATGAAAAGTGGCACCTGCCAACAGAGATGAAATGCCAAACTTTTTTCCCGTTACAGAAAAAGAAAACGTTTCTTGATGTTGACAATAAAAACCTTTGATGAAGTTTTCCTTTAGATTAGTTTAGATCATTAATCATTGAGGATAATCGAGATATTTTTCTGAAACATTTGCCTAGTGTGGTTGCATTTATTTTGAACTAGAGGTTCTAATAGGCAGATATTATTTATAATCCACAGGTATAATCTCAGTAATTACTGTAATGACCCGATAATGTTAAAAGGTCATGACTAAACAGATTTACAGTTCATACAGGGTATTTCCCATGTTTATTATTGTATGGATCATCATTCAGCAAATATTGCCCCCCACTGATACAGATAAAGCTAATTGTATACCCAACATGGAACATGGCCAAACCAGTCACCACAATCGACGGTGAACTCCCATATGCCCGATATCGATGACGAACAATATAATTTTGGACTGTGAACGCAAATTACTGAAATCACGCAAACTGCTGACTTTCTTGCTTTCATCATCTCAACCTCAACGCTCAGTGATCTGTGACGCTAGCAACCAACATACACGAAAAGAATGGAACACACGACGGCCGTTTTTTTCGATCTCGACAACACCCTGATCGCCACCAGGCGAGCAGACGAACGTACCTGCGATAAGGTAAATTGATTTAGTGATGTGCTTCAATTGTCTTTGACCAATCAGTTTTTACTGAGATGAATCGGGTTCCTCGATAGAAATATCGTGGAATAAAATGATGACAAAGTGACGTAAACTTTCACATTCAACGCACATGGCCACATGGCCTCGATTCGATCCTGTTAAAGTCGGCACAGCGCAGACGCAAAACAATATACTCTGCTGAATACAATGTTGTCGGCTCTGCAAAATAAGTATTAGGAAGGAAATCTGTAATGGGTCTGTTTCAGTTGATATTTTTATTAATTATTTTGTAGTACTATCTCTCATCTTAGAGTTGTATATATTTTCAAAATGAATGTTGAAATGTTGATATTCATTATACATAAACCGCGATCGATCCAATGAATTTTATGAATGACAGTTACATTGATTAAAAATTCAGGTGAATATTTTTTAAAATAAAATCTGATGAAAATACACGTAAACGAGATATAGATTTTCGAAATTTATTATTTCATATTACATGGAGAACTATTTGGAAGAAGTATCTATGAATGAAAAAATGCCCCCACTCCAAAAGATTTTTCCTGTAGTATACCCTGCCCGAATTTCATATGGAATTCTCAAATATTTTTGGTAAAATATACTCACTATACGATCAAATCCCATAAACAACTCAATGGTGGAAACTGCATATCGATTTCTATCTTCGTTTCAGAGTTACAAGGTGTTTTTCGAAAATATGAATTTTAAAAAAATAGCTATAAAAATAATTTGTCTGGCAAAAATTCTTCGTTTTTATGAAAACATTTTCAAAGCATTCTGTTTGTCCTGAAAATTGATCCTCAGAACAAGTTGAATTATTGTTACAGGAAAGCCGATTTCAGTGCCCCAGGAATAATTTTTATCAAGAAATCTATGCTTTGCAGTAATTTTCATGAGAACAAGAACTTTTTTCAAAAAACATTTGTATAGCCACTTTTCAAAAATGCCCATTTTCGAAAAACACGTTGTAACTCCGAAACGAAGGCAGATATGCGGTTTTTACCATTGAGTTTTGCACGAAAATTGACCCATAGTAACATCAGTTTTCTTTTATCTAGTTCGAGAAAAGTACTTTCCCTTTAGAATTGTCCAATTTGGCCCACTCTGTACATTCTTATGTATATTTGTACTTTAACGGTTGCAAATACTTCCTGCATTACAAATACAACATCATACCGAATTATTAAAATTGGTCAAGTACAAAGCAAGTAAATTTAATCCGCTACGCGTCGTGCACCAAACTTCACACATCTGACGGCAACAACTTGAACACTTCGGAGCGGTTTGTTTTGATGATATGACCATTTAGCACAAACCAAAAACAAATGTGAACCAATAAAAACAAGGTAAACAAGCCACTTTGACAGGTTTCAAGAACTCCGATAGGTGTCGTACGCTTATTTTATATCGCGAATATAAATATAGAGCTATTAATAATACACTGCCATTATATTTTATTGTAGTTATTACTACATACTTGGCAAGGCATTTGAATCAAATATTTATGCTATTGTTTTTCAATGTAAAAATAAAATGTGGTTGTTGACATACACATCTCATTTATGGGTTGCGTGCAAGAACTGTCAGATGACCGACACTGGAGGCAAAATATTGAAACACAACGTCACTTTACTTATTTGTTTACAAGTGATTGAAATAGTTTTTCACAATTATTTTGGCATACGAATCGTATTTTTCCGCTATTCATCAATTCGCTCATGCCATCACATTATGCTGTTGTGAAATGCACAAAAACTGCAGCGGAAGACGAAGTAATCCGGTTGGTACAATATGATTTAAAAGTAAGTACCTACTATAGTCACTCACATATAGTTTTCATTTTTGAAATTTGGTAATTTCTCTGATTTCTCATCGGAATTCTTTCTGCGATAGAAGCTAATAGAAATACATCTGAAATTTCCAAAATAATGCCAGAAAATTGGATTCATGCAATCAATCGGGAGGACTGGTCTGACATGCTGACGATCGTGTGTGTTGTAGACATGTTCAATCTATTAGCAGTATTAGCTTGTATTGCAGAAGTGACAGAAGGCAGAAGAAATTTTAATAAGGAATGACAACATTTCATAATGATAACTATGTGAGATTACTATTTACCTGAAAAATCATATTCTTTAGTCTCTTGCTGCATTTTTTGTGCATTGTACAACAGCACAATGCGAAGGCATGCTTGAATTAATGAATAGCGCAAAAAACACGATTCGTATGCCAAAATATTGTGAAAACTATTTCAATCCTTTGATTCCTCTGTAACCAAGTAAAAAAGTGAGGTTGTGTTTCAATAATTCACAGAAGAATGAGGTTGTGTTTCAATATTTTGCCTCCAGAGGGTCGGTCATCGTGCACGCGACCTATTAAAAACTTCATAAAAAGTAAGATTTCCACAAAATTCTCAAACACACGACAACGCTAACACAACTAAATTTAGTTCATTGTACCAGTATATCACCTGACGAAGCTACTGGTGTTATCGAAACGTGTCGTGTGTTTGAGAATTTTGTGGAAATCTTATCGTTTGTGAAGTTTTTACATATACACATCTCAGTTTGAAATAATATATGTTGAATGCTGTCGAATATCAAGAATATCAAATTCACATAATCACTGACAGAGATATGTATATTTGATTATTTTAAAACTTCAAAAGAATTATAAAGATGCCTGCAACTCAGGTTTAATTCTTGTCTATAACTTCAACTTTCACGTCGATAATTTTATTAAAATGATGTTATTATGCAAAAAATAGTGTATTATACACGAAAATACCAAACCTATCAGGTCTTTTATTTTACTTTTTTAGCACTCTTTTTTTTCCATGTTATTCACATTTTCACTTCCAATTGGCAACATTTCAAATGTGACAAAGCGCAAAGCGCGAGCGCCGTGAGCGATCTGCTCTGAAGTTGGAAAATAACAAAACAAAATATAGCATCCTAACCCTATTTTATTTCGTAATGTCAACGACTGAGAAAATTCTAAAAATAAGTAAGTCGATACGCCGAGAACGTAGATATGACCGAATATAGAATCTCATAGCATTCGACACCAAAAATAAGCTACGGAGCGCTTCAGTCTCCAAATGTTAGCACTCCAGTTCGCAAGAAAAGTCGTCTGTGTCTAGTGTCGCGCCGAAGTTTTCCACCATGGGGGAGGTTTCTGATGCAGTGAAAAAGTGCTGCAGCATATTGAAGAACTCTACGAGCGATACCGAAAAGTTTGCAGCCCTCTTTATGGTGACAAAACTAGTGAAAGGAAAGCATGCTACTCCCAATGCCAAGAAAGCTATATTCGAGGCAATCGGCTTCGACTTCTTACGCAGGCTCCTGCTCACTACGGACGTCCCTGTGGATTGCCCTCCTTCCATCTACAAGTCTCTAGCACTATCCATAATCACAGTGTTTTGCAATGAAGAAGAAATTGCCATCAAGAAGGAACTCCTTGATTTTGTCCCAGTTTTCCTAGATATTGTCAAAGCAGCTGACGATTCGGAGAACGACGATAGCCTGATGGCGATTGGTGAGGCATACAACTGCCTCAAAGGCATAGCATCCTTTGCACCTGGTCAAAAAGCACTCATAGAAGCAAATGCTATAGACAGGCTAAGTGAAATCTATTCACAAGGTAGTTTCCAGTCTGATGAAGCACTGAATGTGATGGCAGTACTTGTAGCAAAGCAGGGAGCTTCTTGGGACAACAAAGACCCCAAAGCTTATCATGCTCTGTTGAACAAAATCGCCCTAGATTTTGAGACAGATCAGGATAAACGCAAATTCGAAATTTGTGAAGTACTCAATGCTCTGGTATACAACTGCCCGCGAAATGTTATTGCTGAATCAGCACAGAGTGAGTCGTGGCCCCAGAGTGTGTATAAAGGTCTCTGTGATGTGCTACAGAGCAAAATTGGCGCATCTCAACGAAACCCTGCACTTATCTTAACTTCCAGCATGTTGGACCATCTGGGGATTGAATGGATTTTCAGTGATGAGGAAAAGGGCAAACAAGTTTTCCTGTTGCTTATTCAACTGGCTGCCATTGAAATCAGAATGCAACTTGATGGAAAAATTCTCAAAGCTTTGGCGCCTCAACAAAACCTCATAACAGCTTGTTATCTCATATTAGAACAGTCAATAAACTTCATAGCAACAGATCAAATTGACCTAGATCAAAAAGAAAAACAAACTTTGTACACTGGCTTGAAAGGAGCCTTCACAGCTATAGTGAACCTGCTCATCAAAGTTTCCAATGACAAAAACAAACCTAGTGGTGAAGATAAGCTTTTTATTTGTGCCACAATAAGAGTGCTAGTAGCATGGCTAGCTCAAGAAACAACAGCTATGAGAACCCAAATTTACCAGCTCTTGCCTTTCATTCTTGAGTTAGCTAATGAAACATTTTACTTGTACAGAGCTAGACGCATTGCTGAGAAAGCTGGTACCCCACAGGCTAATGACCCTCTTAGTAATGTAAATATTTTGCGTGTAATGTTACCTGCCTTGTGTCACTTGGCTGTAGAAGATGAAGCAAGGCAGATAATGCTCAAAGGAAAAGAGGCTCAGGTGTTATTGGATGTACTAGAGTTCCATTGGACAATTGTACATTACAAGAGACCACCAGTGCCTAGATCTGAACGTTTGAAAGTCCTGAGTCAACCAGTACCTGAGCTTACCCCAGAAATCTTGGAAGACATGAAGGATTCCAGACTTGCCATGATCAGTGCTTGCAATGTGCTCATGAATCTGACCGTTTTAGAGCCAAAATACGTGGAGGAGTCTGAGGAGTTCAACAATCTTCTGAAATTCATTTTTGAGAATCTACCAGAGTTGAAAGACATACCAGAAAATTTGGTATTGCATGGGAACTTGGCCATCTTAGGACTGCTGCTGCTCAAGCAACTATCAAAGAAGGTGAAAAAGAACGATTTTTCGATTTGCCGGTACATTCAAGCAACCATACGGTTCCTTTGGGATGCCTACAACATAGATGAGTCCAATGATCCTACTGCATTGGTGGTTTCTATGGCTTACAAGGAACACTGGATGGAACTGATGGAGTTATGGTTTCTTGGGATGCAGACTCTGGCAGCAGTTATTGCTCAAATCCCTTGGATATCTGAATTTGCAATTGAAAGCGGCTGGGCCGAGGGTATCATAGCACTATTGAAGAAAGTCAAAATCGGCACATTGCCTCCAAATGTTAAATCCGCTTTTGAAGACTTTTTGTGCCATCTTGTTGATGCCAATGAGAGTGTAGTAGATGTTTTGAAGAAGGCTGAAGCTCTTAGAGTTTGTCGGAATCATAGACTCATGGAATTAGGAAAAAAGCTGTTTGGTGATTGAATTTTGTGCTGGAGAAAATTTTATAATCTAATTTCATGCTGATTTCATATTATTAATTGTTTTCCCAGTAATGTTTTGATAATTATTCGGAACTAGCAAATGCATTTGTTCTATTGCAAACTAATTTTGTAAGGATTTTGATACAAAACTGTATAGTGAAGCTGAGATATGAAAATAAAGCTATTTCTATTTGTTACCTTCTGTTTTAATTTGTTATATGACACCATATTCCAGAGATGTGGTAATATGTATCTTGCGAACATAAATATATTTCTTAAAATAAACGTGAGAGTAGGTAAACTCCCACAACTGCAAGTTATTTTCAGATGTACATAATTTAAATGAAAGTCACAGCTGCTCTCTCCAATCTGAATCTATTTTTCATTTTCAGTTGTTGTATAATATACTAAAATATTGAAAGCAAGCTGATACCATGAAATCCTCAAAATAAAAACAATCTCATTATTTCATTTCATTAATAATGAGGTGTTTTGATATCTGTTACAGTTGAAAGAAATTTTGAATAGAAAGTATTCACTGTCAATTAATGCTGCAGCTCAAATATGTAAGAGGTACCTGAAAATGTTTAGAAAATGTCCTGATAACCACCCAATGGACTTAGATACTTGGAGAAAAATTCTGTGGAGTGATGCACTTGGAGAACATTCCTATCTAACAGGTAAGTACATAGAAATTCAATACCTACTTATACATATTATTTTTTATCATAGGAAATTCCTATGATGTTATTGAAGAACATTGAGTGTTCCAAATATTCAGCGTTTTTATCACTGTTTCTATAGTGGTGGAGTGGTGGACTGCAATAACTTTATCAAAGTGCTATAATTTCAATCATATGATATTATGTTCTTCATCTCTTCATATAAAGGGTGCTTGGCCTAGGTATAAAATATAAGTATAACTTATACCTATATCAGAGATTAGTCAATCACTGACTATAATCTCTGCCTATATAGGAAACTTTGGAGATCTTGATAGTTTCCACAGCCTATAATCAATACACACAATTAACACACAAGTCAATACTTCAACAGGGCTTTCTCTATTCAATCTTTGAAATTGGCTAAATGTCAAGGCAAATTAGGACTTGGAATAGACAAATCTTTCTCCATAAAGATCTTCCTGTAGGTAAAAAACACCTATTATAGTCAAGGTCACTATTCCTGGTAGGCAAGGTCATGATCTGACCAGGACACAATTTCCTCATGTTTAACTTTCAATCTGAGCCAGGAGTTAGGAATGTTTTCCCATAGTTTTCATGGCATCCTAACGTCAGATGATGACCTTAATAGCCATGAAAACTACAGGAAAACATTCATAACTCCTGGCTTAGATAGATTGAAAGTTAGACATGTTTTCTTATAGTTTTTATGTTTTTATGTTGATGTTTTAATGTTTTTATGTCTCATCAACAGATGATGACCTTTGCTACTGCGAATATCCACATTTTTTGCTACTGCAGTGACTCTTCAAGATCAAAATACCAAATTATATAACTTAGTTACAAACATTTCACAGGGGTATAAATAGAAACAGACATAGAGGGTACATATGGCGGCTTATATATATGTCTGGGAGTTATAGAAAAGGTAAGAATTTACAGAGGACAATTTTCATAAGTCAACAAAGCGCTATATTCTCAAAATGCATGGTGAGCAAAACGAGAATAGCCGAAAACAAAAACATATATATCCACCTTATCATCATATCAGAGTGTAGAGTGTAGACATAGACAAAAACTCACCCCAATGCTTTCCTCCCACCCCACCTCACATTAATAGTTACACCACTGGCTGAGCAACTCAAGGAGCCTTCTGATACCCCGGTCCCCCCCAATGGCCCCGATACCCGGTTAAGGAGGTTGGAGGTGATTATTGTTTAATGCTTTCATGTGATAATTATTGTTTCTTTCCATCCAGTCAAGTTCTGCTGTTCCCACTTTGAAGTTTTTCCAGTCGAGGTTTCTTAGAACTTCGAAGTTTCAAATACTACACCTTCTCCCCTTCCGAATGCAAAACACAAGCAAATGAAGTAATTTGTGGAAATTCGAAAATGCAGGATTTCGAAATGTTTAAACCGTTAAACGAAACGTCATTCATCATCTTCTCATAATCTAACATCCGACCGGTACCTTCCTCTCTGACTCGATAGCCATAAAAATATTTTGCTTCACTTTCACGGAACAGTTAATGTACACAACCTCAATAGCTCAATATGTTTTGTTTAATGGTCAATCATACGAACAACCAAAAACTAGAAGTAGAATCCATTCTAACCTATACGCAATTATTTTGATTCTTAAATTCTAATAAATGTAAAATGGGAAAGGTTTCGAAAGATAAACGCGATATTTACTACCGGAAAGCAAAGGAGCAAGGCTGGCGTGCCAGAAGTGCTTTCAAACTCCTTCAAATCGATGAGAAATTCCACATTTTCAATGGTGTCACCAAGGCTGTTGATTTGTGTGCCGCTCCAGGCAGCTGGAGCCAAGTCCTCTCCAGAAAACTCTACTTGGGCGAAACAGTCATGATCAGGGACAAGTGCTGTTTATTTTACAATGAAATTGAACTGCACCAGAGGCTGGAAAGCATGGAAGAATATGAATCACATAAGAATGAGAACGTGAAGATAGTAGCTGTTGATCTGCAACCGATGTCTCCTCTTCCAGGTGTTATTCAGATTCAGGGCGACATCACCAAGTATTCTACAGCTCAGGAAATCATTGGGCACTTTGAGGGAGATCATGCAGATCTGGTGATATGTGATGGAGCACCAGATGTTACTGGATTGCACAGTATGGACATTTATATTCAAGCACAGCTGCTCCTGGGTGCCCTGCATATCTGTTGTAATGTCCTAAAACCAGGGGGTACCTTTGTAGCTAAAATTTTTCGAGGAAAAGACAATGACTTATTGACAAATCAGCTTTTAGCTCTGTTTAAAGAAGTGCATGTAGCTAAACCCAGCAGTTCAAGGAATTCAAGCATTGAAGCTTTTGTAGTTTGTCAAAATTATTCACCTCCTGAGGGATTTGATCCCAAATTGATGACCCCATACTTGGATGTGTCAAACAAAGATTTTAACTCTCTTGAAGGTATAAACAGAGTGATAATACCATTTATTGTTTGTGGGGATGTTAGTGCCTATGATTCTGATGCTACATATCCCCTAACATTGGAAGGTGAAGAGCCATACAAACATAGGGATCCTGTGCAGCCACCTATTGCACCTCCTTATTCTTTCCACAACACAGTTAAAAAAGATGATTTGGATCACTATTTGAAGAAAATGGATGAAGCTGTGAAGAGAGTAGGGTTAGGTAGTTCCACTAAAGCTGAAGTTTCAAGTAGCAGTTCAGAAGCACACTCAGAAGCATCTGGGTCTCAGATTGCTACTGATGGGGATCACTGTGAGCCTGTTGAATTTGAAAATATCATTGATAATGGCCCACTTTTTGACCTGATACAAAAAACAACAAAGTTGAAAAAAGATTCAAACAGGAAAAATGAAGCAGAGTGTACTGAAGAGGAAAGTGGGCTTCAATTTTTGTATGAGGATGAATATACAGATCCTGAACTTATTAGGGAATGCTTGGAAAGAATGAAGATTTGTGGAAATTCCTCTACATGTACTTGTAATTATTTTGATTAGGATAAAATCTGATTTCTTCATGCCCATGTGTAATAATTTTTTGTGTTATTATGTTTTTTATACTTCAGAAATATTCATTTGGAATTGTTTCTATGTAGTGTATATACAACATGTGGAAATTGCTCATCTTTCTTCAGCTCAAAAGTGATTTAATATAAATATTTAAACAAAATGATTGTTTCTTTGGTTTTGTCTATAGAAATGTTAATAATATATTGAATTCTGGGCTAAATTATTTGAAACACCTAAGGAATGCCCTAGGCACAGGCCTAGGGTTGTAGGAAACACTCCAAATATATACCCTTCTATATATACAGGGTAACTCACGGTTGATGGTACGTTAGACGTTTATGGAGAACGGGACATAGGATCATTCTGAAATATTGGTTACTCACGTAATTGCTCTTGGTCTATCGATCTAGAATATTTTCAGCTCTGCGGCGTTGCCGCTTCTATCGAAAAGTAGCAACAACTTTGTTATTTCAAATGGAACACCCTGTATTTTATTGCATTTTCAGATTCTCTCTGAAAAGCTGATCTTATCGATGTATCACACTTGGGGTCTAGCGGAAATGATTACATGATAGGGTGTGAAAAATCGTAATTTTTCAACTTTAGGAATTTTTTTTGTCGAAACTATTCATTATTGGTCAAAACGGCTCACATGTCCCTATCTCAACTTTTGATCAACTATCTACTGACATTTAATTGAAACAAATACAGGGTGGTGTATATATATCAGTAGATAGTTAATCAAAAGTTGAGATAGGGACATGTAAGCCGTTTTGACCAATAATGAATAGTTTCCACAAAAAAAATTCCTAAAGTTGAAAAATGACGATTTTTCACACCCTATATCTCTGTAATCATTTCCGCTAGATCCCAAGTGTGATACATCGATGAAATCAGCTCTTCAGAGAGAATCTGAAAATGCAATAAAATACAGGGTGTTCCATTTAAAATAACAAAATTGTAGCTACTTTTCGATAGAAGCGGCAACGCCGCAGGGCTGAAAATATTTTAGATCGATAGACCATCAAGAGCAACTACGTGAGTAACCAAAATTTCAGAATGATCCTATGTCCTGTTCTCCATAAACGTCTAACGTACCATCGACCGTGAGTTACCCTGTATATCCTCCTTTTCTTCATCCAACAACAAGTAGGTAACCTTTATTTATCAAAATAGTTTATTGATTTTTGTTAGCTACTATATAGAATTAAATTTTCAGGACATGAGGAAGAAATTATGAAACTATCAAGTAACCGGTAACATGTATTTGACGATATAGTATTATATAAATGTGTGGTCGACTGACTTTGAGTCTTTTGTTTCTCTTTTGTAACCTTTATATTAATTTAATTTAACTTTAGCCAAAGATATCACTTTTTTATTCATTGAACGTTTATTGAGTTCTGAGGTTTATTACTACCTCAGAATGGATTTTTTAAAATAATTTTTGACAAGTAATAATGTAATGTCATAGTCAAAAATAATTCGGTCAAATCAACCATCAAAAATTCACACATTCCAAAATCATTTGTATACAACCAAAATTCTAGTGTAGTTTCCCATGCAATCAAATTCAAATGAAATTAAGAATAAAACCGCTGGTTGGAGAAGAAAAAATCATTGAGGTAGACTCGACAGAAACAATTTTGGATATCAAAACAAAACTGGAGTCTGAATACGAAGATTTTCCAACATCCCAACAAAGATTGATTTTCAGAGGAATGTTTTTGCAGAATATCAGAACTATTGAGTATTACAGGCTCAAGAATGGATGTCTTTTAAATTTGGTGAGAGCACTGAGGAGTGCTTGAAGTGCATATGGAATTCTAATAAAGTTTCGATATGGTCACCTTTTTGGCATACATTATGCTTCTATATGTTTGGTACTTTGTAAGTACTAGAAATACCTAAGAATTTACCCTGGGATCCAATCAAATTACTATATTATGAATGTATATGTATAGATCGATGTATGTGTACATCTATATTATAAATTTACATACAATCTTTTAACTATACATATATACCTACCCGTAATGTTGTACTTTTCATATTCAAATAAACTCATGATTTGATGTAACAATATATATAGTTCTTGATTTCAAAATTAGCATAATATACAGTTTATACAAGGTGGTCCAGAATAACATTCGTATACTAGAGGAGGTGATTCTGCAGATAAAGATAAAAAAAATGTTCCCATCAATATGTGTCCGAAAATACTTCCTAACGGTGCTGAAGCCCTTTGAAGGTATATAGGCCCTTAATCGCAGTTGTCTTCAATTATCTCCTGACGTTTCTACATATCTATAGCATTGTTTTCGAAAAAAAATCAAACCTCGTCCATATTATTCTCAAACTTTTTTACTTTTCTTTCAATTCGAGCAGGTATATACACTGTGTCCATAGTCACCCCCCCCCTGGTTAACTATTGAACGGATGGGATTTTTTTTTTCAATTTTTTTTGCTTCAATGGTAGTTTCAGTGCTACATATTGTTTCAAAAAAAAAATATGTATCCTCCAAAATGGCGCCTGGGCGCCATTTTGGAAGATTTTTTTAAATGGAGTGGGGGGTCGAAAGATACCTCGATTGAAAGGTCTTTCGATTCTTTATACAACCTCAGAATCTCAGACGAAAATATTCATCCAAAACAAAATGGCGGATGATAACGTTTGAAATCTCACACCAGAATTCTTTCGACTAGATGGCTATTAAAGTGCTCGCATGTGATCTTCAAATCTCTATTGGCGTATGGAAGAGTTCTCTATCTATGAAGATGTCAATAGGAAGCCATTTTGAAGAGAATAACATGGTAGTCAATTATTACCTCTGCTCGATTGCCTTTCCAAATTCTGCAAAATTTTAGAAATATTTATTCAAAATAAAGAACAATGTTTATTCCACGTGACTACCATGTTATTCTCTTCAAAATGGCTTTCTATCGATATCTTCATAGATAGAGAACTTTTTTATACGCCAATAGAGATTTGAAGATCACATGCGAGCACTTTAATATAGCCATCTAGTCGAAAGAATTCTGGTGTGAGATTTCAAACGTTATCATCCGCCATTTTGTTTTGGATGAATATTTTCGTCTGAGATTCTGAGGTTATATAGAGAATCGAAAGACCTTTCAATCGAGGTATCTTTCGACCCCCTACTCGCCATTTAAAAAAATCTTCCAAAAAGGCGCCCAGGCGCCATTTTGGAGTATACATGTTTTTTTTTTGAACAATATGTAGCAATGAAACTACCATTGGAGCAGGAAAAAATTGAAAAAAAAATCCCATCCGTTCTAAAGTTAACCAGGGGGGGGGGGTGACTTTATGGACACAGTGTATGTGAATTTGACTATCAATTCAGGGACTATTTTCACTTCATGCAACGACGCCCTGTATCTCTTAGAAAATGAAACCTCACTTATTTGAGAAAACAATACGATATAAGCTAGTTATCAAATCTAAAATGATAATAATAAAATATAATCTTATATATGCACGGTCATTTTATTGCCATTATAGGTATTTATGAGGTTTTCTTGAGTCCTGGGGTATTCTACTTTCGCAATTTTCTTGGCGTCCTCTGAGGGCTACTGAAGTGTCTCTGGGTGTGAAAATCGCCTACCCTGAATAAGATCCTGATCAGGATAAATTATATTATTATTATAAATCATATATTTTCATCGGTCCGTGATATAGAAGTGTTCGAGGTTTGAATTTGATTCGACGTTTTGAAGTAGATCAAAATCAACTATCTCTCTGGATGCAACTATTCATACAAGTAATTGGTGCAAGACCTTGCCCTGTCTCTGAATATGAAAAACATTGTTAAAAGTTTTTCGAAGAATAAAAACGAACATTTGAAATCTTGGTGGCGGAACTTCAGCCACCATTTTATTCCAGAAAAAAAAGCTCATTCTGAACATCCTGATCAGGAAAATGGAACAAATCTATCAACTAATGCTGTTATTGTCATCGGCCCTTGATAAATGTGTGAAGTTTCAAATCAATTCGACGTTCTCTGAAGTGGGTCAAAATCACGTTCGAAGATTACGTTTTAATAAAAGCATATACATTCCAAGCTAATAAAAGCATGGTAATAATAAGCTCATCTGCTCACACAGTGATTTTATCACCACTAGGTATATTATGATAAGGTTCTAATGAGTCTTAGGTATTTTACTTCAATAATTTTCTTGGCCTTTACTTGGCCTCCTCTCAGGGCTCTTCTCCTCTTCTACCAAATGAAGCACATCAGTACCGCCTTTCAGCTTGTAGCTTTGTTCACTGTCATGCCGTCTTTCACCTGTTTTCCTTGGAAAACCAGCCTCTGATATTCGGGAGGTATCCCATATTTCTCTTCTAGCTTTTCCTTGATCGTCAGGACTTACGTAGTACGATTTGCGATATAAATCATATCTAAAATGGTGATAAAAATAAGCTTATATGTCAACAGAGTGATTTCATTACCACTAGGTATCACCAAATGGAGAACGGTAGGTACCATCTTTCAGCTTGTAGTTGTTCACTATTTTGTCGTCTTTCAACTATTTTCCTCGGAAAACCAGTCACTGCTGTTCGGGCGGTATATCCTCTTTCCTTTCCAGCTTTTCCTTGATCGTCAGGATTTAAGTAATACGATTAGCGATATAAATTATAAAAAATGATAATGAAAAATAAACTCATATGGCCACAAAGTGATTTTATTACCACTAAGTATATTATGAGGTTTTCATGAGTCTAGGTATTCAACGTTTTCATAATTTTCTTGGCCTCCTCACAGGGCTACTACTAAGTGTGGTACCAACTTTCAGCTAGTAGCTGTTCATAGTCTTGTCGTCTTTCAGCTACTTTCCTTGGAAAACCAGCCTCTGCTGTTCGGACGGTATCTCCTGCTCTTCCCTTTCCAGCTTTTCCTTGATCGTCCGGATTTACGTAATACGATTAGCGATTTATATCCTAAAAAATGATAATGAAAAATAAATTTATATGCCCACACAGTGATTTTATTACCACTAGGTTCATGAAGTTTTCATGAGTCTAGGTATTCAACGTTTTATAATCTTCTTGGCCTCCTCACAAGGCTACTACTAAGTGGAGAACGGTACCAACTTTCAGCTAGTAGCTGTTCATAGTCTTGTCGTATTTCAGCTGCTTTCCTTGGAAAACCAGCATCTGCAGCTCGGGCGGTATCTCCTCTTTCCTTTCCAGCTTTTCCTTGATCGTCAGGATTCACGTAATACGATTAGCGATATAAATCCTAAAAAATGATAATGAAAAATAAAGTTATATGCCCACACAGTGATTTTATTACCACTAGGTTCATGAAGTTTTCATGAGTCTAGGTACTCAACGTTTTCATAATTTTCTTGGCCTCCTCTCAAGGCTACTACCAGATGGAGAACGGTACCACCTTTCAGCTTGTAGCTGTTCACAGTTTTATCGTCTTTCAGCTGCTTTCCTTGGAAAACCAGCCTCTGCTGTTCGGGCGGTATCCCCTCTTTTTCTTCCAGCTTTTCCTTGATGGTCAGGATTTTGTCAGTGGGCTCCACGTCTAGCATGCGCTCGTCTCCTGTCAAGGTCACCACTTTGAGTAACATCTAAGGAAGTCGCACGGGGAATTTGGGGGATGATGACCTAAAATTTCGGTATTTACGGATGCATCTCGATGGAATGGGCGATTGAGTGAGTGACAATGAGATGTGAGGATTTGACAGACCTATATAAAAACTGTCAAGATATGTCAAGATACTTTGATCACAATGTATGTTTTTTATTTAGGAAAGACACTCCTCCAAGAAATTAACTCACCACCAAGAAGCAGCCAAACGTTCAGGTTTGCCGTATCTTTTTTCATCATTTCTTTTTTGGATTCACTCCATTATATCTTTTTTATCACTCGAGAAACTGTTGGATTCTGTCCAAAAAAGGGCAATTCGTCTCGTGGGTGATGCCTCGCTCACAAACTCACTCACTTCTCTGGAATGCCGTAAAAAAGTTGGCGATCTGGCACTATTTTATAGATATTCTCATGGACGATGCTCTTCTGAAATATCAACAATTGTTCCTCCCTTGGCAGTCCCCGCGATATTAACCCGTCTAGTTGAGGCTTCGCACCCCTTCGTAGTTGATTGATATATTACGCTTAAGCGTAATATATCAATCAACGCCTTCGTGATGGAGACCTGCAGAACATCTCTTTCCAATTCCCAAAGACTCGTGCATCCTACGAACAGCGAGGCTCTGGAACACATTGCCAAGGAAGGTGTTCCTCGAGGCATATAAGCACCAGAAATTGGTTCTCATGATGTTCTCTGAACGTGGGAACCAGAACAAAAAAAAAATCTCACGAGAAACCCGAAGTACTATTTAGAATCGCTTACGTAATATTTTTAGGTCACCTGAAATATGATTAAATGACTTTAGTTGAATGAAATAACAAAAAAAATGTTTTTTACAAATTAATTCAGCTAAAGTTGGTAGAAATATGTCTTCTCACAATTTATGGAATTAATTCATTGTGATTTGAAGGTGAATGTAAATGTCATTTTACCTATAAACGTCAAGAAAATTTTAATTGGTTTAAAATGTTGGGAAATTTTCAAAAGCATTCACAACTCCTACCGTTTCCGGCATATGGATGCTATGCTGTGCAACCTTATATTTTGGTCACACTGTATAATGGACATTATATTGATCACAGTTAAAAGAATATACAATATATTCTTTTAACTGTGTATTGATTGTCCAGCCAGATGTAATTATTATTGGATCTTCCTTTCATTTGATTCAGACCAAGGAAGAGTTCCTCTTATCCTGATATCTATCATGAAACAACAATCTTAAAAAAATCCTGGTGAATTCGGAGTCACGGGGAATGAACGTGCACTAACTTTTTTTCCATTTCCAGATGACATTTACCAACAATGGCTGACGCTAAGGTACGAGTACCTCTCGCTAGCCCCAGACATCACGCATTTCCTGAAAACCCTCAGGAAATCGCACCTGTTGGCCCTGATAACCAACGGCCCGTCCCAAGCCCAGTGGGAAAAAGTGGAAAAACTCGACCTCAAGTCCTACTTCGACCTCATCCTGGTTTCCGGTGATCTGCCTTGGGAAAAACCAAGCGCGGAAATATTTCTTGAAGCCTGCGAAACCTTGGCAGTCGATCCTAAACACTGCGTCATGATAGGGGACAAACTGGAGACGGATATTTTAGGGGGAAGCAACGCCAAGCTGTTGTGTAGTGTATGGGTACCTTTGGGCAGTAGGCAGCTACGTGAAGGGGACCCTTTACCGGATTTTGTAGTGGAGAAAGTGACGGATTTCAGCCGTTTGCTGCCTCAAATCGTTAAAAGGAAATCGAAAATTCTCAGTAATGTTTTCTTGGCAGATGTAGATGATTGTAATAGTAATGGGAGTGATGGTAGCTGATATAAGCTGATGATTTTTATGTATTCACATATTCGAGACTTTTTCTAGTTTCGAATTCTCACCTAGTGTTCGGATAGACAGGGTCGAGTTTTACATAGAAATTTGATGAGAAAATTAGATACAAATGAAAGGTTGTACAATATCTTTTGAATCTGAATATTATTTATGATCTGATATTTTCTTTACATTTTTTGTTCAATATTGATTAATTATCCAATTAATTAATTGAAATTCTGATATTTTGGGAAGATTCATTATAGATTTTATCATATTTATATGTGTTCAATAGGTATACTATACAATATGGCGATCTCAACTCACAACTCCCTTCTAATTTGAATCCTGATGTTGACAGATTTTCCAAAATAAATATACCATTATATAATATATACTCATCGTCCTCTATTTACCCCTTCAACATACATCAGTAGGCTTTAGGAATCAGAATATTTGGGATTTGTCCACATTCTCGAAGATATCTCGTTGAGTACTACAAATATTATGATTTTTTTTTCGAAAATCGGTGATCGGGTTCCGAACTAGGAATGTTGCGAGTTGATATACCACACACTGTATGTATACTTATTTTAAAATCTCTGTATATAGTATACAGTGCAACAAAAAGTATCAGTTTCCTGTATAGTTATACAGGGTGTTTCTTAGGTAAAGGGAAATATTTCAATGGTAGATAGGGGTCACCAAGGTTGTTCTGAAAATACCATATTTGATAGGTCTTAGAGTCTTCATAACGGAGATATAGGGCGATTTATCGATTTCGAATAATTATTCATTCGTCTATATGTATTGACCTACCCAGTATATTTTTCTCAAATTTGGTAAGGAGCTTATACTTGGGACGTTAAATTTATCCACTTATCGGGCGGAGTGAAAATCCAGGTTCGGCTTCAGGAAAAATTTACATTTATTCGAAATATTAAAATAACACACTGTATTCAATAATTAACACAGTACATCAAAAGAATTATGAAGAGGAGGAAAAACTGAATTGTGTATGATGCTTTTTGTTTTCCCGCCACCAATTCTCATCGTAACAATCATAAACAGAAAGTTGAAAATATTTCAATTTGAAGAGTATTGGGATTATGAAACCAGTGTCAATTATGATTATTTGATATTTCAGTCAAAAAATCGCTCGAAAGAACTCACTAAGTCTCACAGTCTCCATGAGTCTTAAACTACCCAGTAACATTTTCTCAAATTTGGTAGGTATGTAGCTTACTTGGGACGATGGAATCATTAACCTATCAGGCGGAATGGAAATAATACCAAATAATTATAATTCGATAATTCACCCTGTATCTCTGTTATAAAGACTATGAGACTTTTCCTGAAGCTGAACCTGTATTTCCATTCTGCCTGATAGGTCAATGAATCCATCGTCCCAAGTAAGCTCAATTCCAAATTTGAAAAAATATTACTGCAATGGGTAGTCTAATACTTATATGGACGAGTGAATAATTATTCGAAACCGATAATTCACCCTGTATCTCTGTTATAAAGACTGTGAGACTGAGTAAGTTCTATCGAACGATCATTCAACAAGTATATATCAAATAATCATAATTGAAAGTGGTTTCATAATTTCAATACTCTTCAAATTGACATACTTTTAGTTTTCTGTTTATGATTGTTACGATGAGAATTGGTGGCGGGAAAACAGAAAGCATCAAATCCAGTTCAGTTTTTTCTCCTCTTCACGATTCCTTTGATGAACTCTGTCAATTATTACATACAGTGTGTTATTTTAATATTTCGAATAAATGTAAATTTTTCCTGAAGCCGAACCTGGATTTTCACTTCACCCGATAGGTGAATGAATTGAACGTCCCAAGTATAAGCTCCATACCAAATTTTAGGAAAATATACTTGGTAGTTCAATACTTATAGACGAATGAATAATTATTCGAAATCGATAAATCGCCCTGTATCTCCGTTATGAAGACTCTGAGACCTATCAAATATGGTATTTTCAGAACCCCCTTGGTGACCCCTATGTACCATTGAAATATTTCCCTTTACCTATGAAACACCCTGTATAGAGTAAGAAATTTTTATTATTTTCTAACATGTTCCGGCAACTAGAGGTACCTATATATAAGTACCTACGTAATTTTTTCAGATACATTCAAACCATATTTTTTGTTAACGTATAGGTATTGGTACCTATTAAATATCTCCTGGTAGATTTATGGAAAGGACGTTATATTCTGTATCTTTCTTGAAGTTTGAAGTTATAAAAACTCAATTCGATGAGGCTCATAGTTTCCATATAAATGTTCAATTTTTGACATGATTTCACTGAAATGAATGAACATTCTTTGGCTAGAAATAATTGTTTTTGTGAACGCTGTTATATTTTGTTGATTTTATTGTTACCCCAATAAAAATACTTTTTGGGAAATCAGGGAAATACCATAGTTTTTTTTATACACTCTATAATATATTACTAAATTATTGGTATAGGTAGGTACAAACTTTCATATTCACTCATTTCCAAAGTTAGTTCACTAACATAGCACACTGTATTTCAAAATATGATACAAGGAATTTCGTAATACGAAATTTAATTACAAACTATATACCCCCATTATCAAAACTATTGCAATTTCAACCCTCTAATTGTGAGTTGAAAACTCTGTTGAAAATTGTGTTCGAGAATCATAGTTTATAGATGTAGATATTATGAAGATACAATAATTTTGATCATGAGTGTATATATACATTATTAGCACTTCACCAGTTGGCCTAATATACATATTAGAGAATACAAATTGAAAAAATTCGAAGTAAATTCACTTAAAAAATCAATATAAATCAATATCATACATGGCAAAAATATATAACCACAATAAATATTTTTGGTTACAATTCATGATATTCAGAGTATTCTACAGGCATTTTTGAGGACGTTTTTCTTCTTTTTTTGCTTATGGGGTCGTAGTACTATTGTTCCATTATTTTTGGACGAATGACTAGGGCTAAAAGTACCTGAAATAAAGACGAAAATGATTATGAAAACAGGTTACAACATTTCGTACCGATATGACTACAGAAAACATTTGTTTTCCTTGGTATATTTTTCACCCTGATTTCTTCACAGATAATTGGTTAAAATGAACGAAAATAGCTATTAGACTCACATTTCAAAAAACCAAAACGCGAAAAAGATACCCAAAAACGTTTCACGAATTATATTTTCAGTTCGTACATCAATTCTGTTGTACTATCTTCATCTAATTTATCAATTTATGGCAATCGATTGCAAAAAATGAAAAATTTTGCATTGTGCATTTTCATTGTGTTTTCAACTTTGTAAGTGAATTCGGCACTCGTTTAGATATTTTTGTGAGGATTATTATCATTTTTTTGAATATTATAATAACTGCAGTTTTCTACAAGCGCGCGTGATTCACCCTATATACCCGCACGCAATTCAGTTTGGGAAGTGTCATATTGTACCGCAGTAGTGCGGAAAAAGTTTTCTCACAAAATAATAATTGATTGTTTTCATTCATGAAAAATCAAAATCCTCTGAAATCGAGAATTGACATCATCTCTCAAATCGAATAGAATAATATGATGTATTATGATGAATGTCAATTTATCATACATAAAAAAAATATTTCAGTTTGATTTACTCAAAATTGCAGCAAAATCTGTTTTGAAACCTCTCAAATCTCTTGAAAATGAAGCCATAAAATGTATTTATAAACTACCATTTCTAGAATCAACATCTAGACTATACAAACCAAGGTGTCTACTAGATATTGACTCTCTCTTCAAAATGAAAGTTGGTATGCATTTCCATTCATTTCACTAAAAATAAGAAAAAGCACTCGAATCTTACTTTCAATATCAATTCTGATACTCATGAGCGTCACACCAGAGAAAGTGAACTCTCAAAATAAAAACCCAATTCGGGAAAAAATCATTGTATTTTTGTGGAATAATAGATATTTATTATACAAGGGAAAAAATTAGTAGATTTTAGCTCCAGGTTGTGTAGTCTCCCGACGCGTAGCGTTGAAGAGAGGAAGTACCACAGGCACTAAGTGCCAAAATTCAAATTTTTCTTTTTCTTGCTCGAATTGGTTCCATGTACCATCGGCAATAATATACCGAGAAGGGTCCCAAGTACCCTTTCAATTATTCACTTCAGGAAATGGAATTTATATAGTGCGTACTTCTATATTCTGGCACGTTTCATTTAGATAGGTATCGGCTGGATTGTGGTGTTAACATGGGAAATATCCAAGAAAATACAGAAAGAATGTTCATTGGAAAACATGAAAATAAAATACATGCTGGAAAGGCGTATGCTGTTAGAAAACGGAGAGAAATTGGTCTTCGAGACCTTCACCAAATCAAGAGGAAAGATAATCCAACAATTTTCTTGATGAAGAGGTAACTTTGACGTATAGCTATTGAAAAGAAATCGATATTGTGAAGAAATGCAGAACCATTGAACATCTGAAATATGCTACCTTGAATACTTTGCCACCCGAAAACAAAATATCGGGGAGCAAAAAAATCTGGATGGTCCACGATTCCTCACCTGGAAAATCCCGGTGATGAATCATTCTATAAAGAACTATTGACCTACAAGAGTAAAACTTAGGACCAAGTAACTGTTCACCTCTACTTGTAATTAACTTATAACCTCCAAACAAGATGCTACTTATGCCTCAACATTATATAGTTTTCACTATTAACCTCAAAGTGGTATGGCGCCCTTTCAGTTTCAGATCATCGAAATATGTTATTCTTCTTATGTTTGGACACGAAGTTGAAATAAAAAATGTTCGATTTTCAGATTGTTTCTTTGAATTTCTCCGTTGGTACTTCAACTCTTCAATTTAACTCTCTCCTTGTATCAATTAATTCTGATTGAACTGTTTATCTTCATTGTATTTGCATATTTCATTTTTTTCCCTCCATAAACATTGTATGTTTCTTGGGATCAATAAATGTTATTATTATTATAATTTTTGTCAGTTACTCAACCGAAAAGATACATATACTTGTTTGGACTTACTAATGGTGAGAGAGTCAGAGGCGAAGGTGGCAGGGGCGGCGGCAAAGTAGTCGTAATCGTGCAAAGGGGGGTCCCTCAGCTCTTGGAGGCACTTGGAGGCGAGGTGCCTGAAGACGGCGACGACGTTGAGGTCCTCCTTTACGGAGGTGCGGATGAGGCGGCAGCCGAGCGCGCGGGCCAAGAGGTCAGCTTCCTCCCTACAAATTATAACGATCATGCAAAAAGTATGTTCACGTGGTTAACGCTTTAGTTCCATTCTTTGTGGACTGGCGAATGATTCATAATCTCCGACCCCGAAAACGTCAGATACAAATTTTGAATAGAATCGGATCATATTCCAGAACTCGTCGGCCATAATATATTGCATCTGCAATCTCCAATTTCCCAATTTTGATGATGGAATCATAATCTCCGACCCCGAAAACACACAGATATAAATTTTGAATAGAATCGGATCATAATTACAAAACTCGTCCGCAATATTGAATCTGCCATCTTGAATTTCCTAATTTTGAAGAAGGACTCATTATCTCTGACTTCGAAAACCACCAGATACGAATTTTGAATTGAATCTGACTATATAGTTACAGACCTCGTGCGCCGTATATTGGATTCGTCATCTTCCTTCCGTCATTTCAGTGAATACGTGAAATGACTAGGCATTCCAGAAAATGACGGATTTCACTGTTTGACGCGGACATATACAGGGTGTTTCATTGGGAAAGGTGAATAATTCAACTGTGGATAGAGGTCACTGGGGTGATTTCAAAAAACCCATGGTTGATGGGTCTTCGACTTCTTATAACCGAGATACAAGATGTTTCATCAATTTTGTCCATATCTTCATTGTCTCATAACTTTCCAACCAACCTGTACATATTTTTAAAAATTGGTACACTTGCTCAATCTATCCTGTGGAATTGATTGAGGCAACAACAAAAGATAAAATCCAGGTCCGGCTTCACTTAAAATTCACAAGTTCTTTCTGCCAGAAAACAACACCTTATACATTCGAATTTCTCATTTTTTTTGCCATATCTGAAAAGAACATCAAAAGATCTATTCAACGATGTGCTTTTTATTCGTGCACAGACGATTTCAACTATTCATATTATGTGCTCAAAATATTATTTTTGCTCATTTTTGCCCAAAATTGGAATCAGACGAGATTTATTAATTTTATTACTTCCTATTCAGTATACGGTGAGTTTTACATTTAGAAGGAGAATTTCATATCGTTCTTTGTTCCAGACTTAGTTGCAGGTCCGTCATCAAAACTATACAGGGCTTTTCACGATGCCCAGCCAACCATGAGATGTATAAGTGATGTATACGCCACATCACTTTGTGACATGCGATATCGCATTTGAAGTCACAAACATGTTACCGATACAACGTGGCGATGTGAAAATGTCCGACTCAAGCAACATCACTGTGACGTCTTTCAGACATGAAATGCGACATCACATGAAAAATCACTACCAGGTCACATACAAGTGTACATTTCATATTACAAATACATCACACTGCGACATCGATGATGTAGTCGCCGTACCTGTGATATTCGTGGGATATATAATAATAATAATTATTCAACTTTACGAAGAAAATGTTTATTTTCCGAGAGTAAAAACAGATGATACAAAACTTATCATGACAATCACCCTAATTAGTAATCTTGAAGTAAAACATGACACATATATAGCAATACAAATGTACATTATTCATAAATGATACATATCAAATACACTCACATTATCTTGGGATCTTTCATCCACCTTGTTCCAGATTGCAATGTTTCTATTTCAGAGATAATTACAATATTACCTATTGTGATTGAACTCACCGTCGTTCCTAAATGATTGTATACCTCCAATTTGAAGCTGCTATAATATGTGCTATAGGTAAATCATCTCAGATATTTCAACAGAGAATTTGGAAGGAAATAGTCTGTACTCTGTACGGAGTCGGACTCATATTCACTGACTGACTGACTGACTGACTGACTGACTGACTGACTGACTGACTGACTGACATGACCATGCACAGCTCAACATGGCGTCTGGCGTGTGCATTCGTTCTGCGCATGTCTGCGTCACACTCACATCAGGTCACAAAGATATCTCATGAGGATATTAATGTGAATTATTTAGTTAACGTCGAAGAGATATAGTTTGAAGAAGTCGCTGACACATTACATAGTTTCCTAGTTGCGATGACACCTTGCGACGTTGATATCGAATCTACATCGATAAGATGTGTTAACGAGATATTGCATTCATGCAAGGTTGTTACATCACACAGATGTTGATGTCCCACGATGGTTGGCTGGGTGAGCGTTAACTTGACGTTTCCGGCAAACCAGGCAATGGATTAATCTGAAATTTCGATAGTATGTATAAATTAACAAAATCTACACTACTGAAATATCTGAAACGATCTGGCCTTGCCGCTTCTACTAGAAAGTTGCAGCAACTTCGATTTTTCAAATGGGACACCCTGTATTCCATTACATTCTTTGATTCTTGCTGAACAGCAGAATTCATCGATTCAAAACATTCAAGGTCTAGCGGGACTGAAAACTGATATATAGGATGTGGAAAATCGAGATGTTTCAACTTTAGAAATGTTTTGTGTTGAAACTATTTATTATCGCATGGTCAAACCGGCTTCAATGTCCCTATCTCTGATTGAAACAGATACAGGGAGTGGTGCAGAAATCTGAATTATGAACCATCCTGTATTTGTTTCGATTAAATGTCAATAGATACAAAGTTAAGATAGGGATATAAAAGCCGTTTTGATCAATAATACATATTTTCGCAAAATAATTCTAAAGTTGAAACATCTCGATTTTTCTCACTCTAAATATCTCAGTTATTAGTCGCACTAGATCCCGAACTTTGTGAATCGATTAAATTAGCTCTTCAGGAAGCATCCAGGGTGTCCCATTTGAAAAATCAAAGTTACTGCTACTTTCGAGTAGAAGCGGCAACGCCGGATTGTTTCAAATATTTCAAACTTGTAGATCATGTTGATTTATACATACCTTCGAATTTTTAGATTTATCCGTTGCCTGGTTTGCGGAAAACGTCAAATTAACGCTCACCGTGAAAAGCCCTGTATAGTTTTGATGACGGACCTGCAACTAAGTCTGGAACAAAGAACGATATGAAATAATCCTTCTAAATGTAATACTCACGTATACTGAAAAGGAAGTAATAAAATTAATAAATCTCGTCTGATTCCAATTTTGTACCCCAAAATGAGCAAAAATAATATTTTGAGCACATAATATGAATAGTTAAAATCGTGTGTGCACGAATAAAAAGCACATCGTTGAATAGATCTTTTGATGTTCTCTTCAGATATGGCAAAAAAATGAGAAATTCGAATGTATAGGGTGTTGTTTTCTGGCAGAAAGAATTTGTGAATTTTAAGCCGGACCTGAATTTTATCTGTTGTTGTTGCTTCAATCAATTCCACAGGATAGATTGATCAAGTGTACCAATTTTTAAAAATATGTACAGGTTGGTTAAAAAGTTATGAGACAATGAAGATATGGACAAAATTGATGAAACATCCTGTATCTCGGTTATAAGAAGTCCAAGACCCATCAACCATGGGTTTTTTGAAATCACCCCAGTGACTCCTATCCACAGTTGAATTATTTACCTTTCCCAATGAAACACCCTGTATAAAGGTTTGAGTAGTTTGGGCGTGAATCCTACCAATTTTTACTCCTTTTAAACGCGTAAAGTTTGTATTTACTGTCAAGGTAGTTTCCGTCATTTAATCAATTACTAGTCAATAATGGCATAGGCACCTCTGTTATCATAATCAACCCAAATGGCACTCGAATCCAGTATGTATTTATCAATAACGACTTGTCATATGCTGTCACCCAGCCAACCACCGTGTGACATCAACATCTGTGTGATGTAACAACCTTGCATAAATTCAATATCTCGTTAACACATCTTATCGACGTAGATTCGATATCAACGTCGCAAGGTGACTTCGCAACTAGGAAACTATGTAATGTGGCAGCGACTTCTTCAAACTACATCTCTTTGACGTTAACTAAATAATTCACATTGATCATTCTCGCTAGACCCCAATTGTGATGTATTGATGAGATCAGCTCACAAAGGAGAATGTGAAAATGCGATGAATACAAGGTGTCCCATGAGAAAAAGTGTAACTTTGATACGCCACGCATTTCTGAGTCACCCTGTATAAAGCGAAATAATTTGGAAATGTGCTGCTCATACTCCTAGATCATCTCTGAAATTTTTGTTCATCTATTTCAAACAGCCAAGCCGTATCTCACTTTGCCACACTAATGACTCACCCTGTATACCTCGGCTGAAGCCTCTGGATATAATCAAAGAATATAGGCCTCTTTGATATAATCTTAGTCCCTGGGTAATATACAGATATTCTTCACTACCTTGGTGTATAAATATCTATTTTACTCCAAAAACAAAGAAAGCTTAGAAGTTCAAAAAAAATTCCAATACCTACCTCCTACCCCATCCTCCCTAGGAACGCACGATGTTCTTTGAACATTATAGGGATTCTCTTTCGTGCGCTCCAAGCGATGAAAAAAAATTATATAATAGGGTTTTGTACTTACGGATTGACAACGCTCTGGTCGATAAGATCTATTTTATTCTGTACAATCACAGTTGGTATTTCTCCACATTCGTTCTCTACCTGTGAAAAAAAAACAAGATTAGTCATCCACCGTTTTACACCTCATGATTTGAGAGCAGCAAAAATTTCGACAACAAAAAAATAATCGTTCTCCGAATAATGTGTGAGATTTTGTGAAAAACATCTTGGACCAATTTCGGGATTTTCTAGATGAGTCATACTTTTACTTTATTCACTAGGTACTATACGCAAAATATTGAAGAATTGGTCAGTTCATAGAATCTCATTTATATTTAATTTAATTTTACAGCTCTATTTCTCATAAGGAATGGCCTGAATTTGATATAAGTTAAATTAAATAAGATTCTATGAACGCATCTTGGTGGAAGGAATGGAGTTATAATTGAATATAAATTGAATACAAATAATTTCTATGATCTGACCATATGTCATAACTGAAAAAATTTGATAAGTTCCGAACAATGAATGACGACAGCTTTGGCGATCTAACACCTGGTTGAAATCAATACCACCAAAACTCAAGCCTGTATTTTCTCTGCCTGTTAAGTGCTATTGAAAATACTCTTTTAATGTCATTTGGAGAAAAAATAAGTTTCATGTATTCCAAAGATGCATGAAGCAATGATAATCTGCCAAGAGGAGTTCATTTGTATATTACGCATCATGATGATTCACTTTCCTAGAAAAACAAAAATACTCTCGCTATATACTCAGCAGTCTCAGCACAATATGAATATATTCAGGTGGGATGTGAGAATACATAGGTAATGAAATTTAGGATCAGTCATTTTGCCAAATCAATTAAAATCTGCTACTTTCAAGATCAAGTGATTTATTGCTATTCCTGCGTTATTGAGGACATTTTTAAATGAGCATGGCTGACCTCGATCTTCAAGCGAGTTCAGTAACACGATTGATTATTTATGAATTTTCGGAGATATAACCACATCGAGAAAATTCTTCATTCAAAATGATATCGACATGTAGAATATTAATTACAACTGTAAAAGTGGTTGGTCAAATTCAGTGCCCAAGCAGACGAGTTTCACGAGTTTGAAAACTGGAAAAAGACTATATACAGTATGATGCAAATGTATGGAATAAATTCATTTCAAAACAAGACGACTTTCGAAAAAAAAAAAAAAACTAGAGTTTAGAACTTTTTTTTCGACGTATTTTTTCAACTAGACGACCCTTCGATGTTCAATTCTCAGTAGCAGACCTCTGCAAGATTCAATTAATCACATGATAATCCATTTTAATTTCAATCTTCTTATGCAGCAACATTTTGACTGTTGAATAGACGATCGGTAGACCTTTCAATCAAGGTGTCACATGACCCCTATTTGTATTTGAAAAAATCGTCCATTACGTCTTTACTCCAACACCGGTGACGTAACATCTCTCATATGAATATCATGAGATGAGGCTTCAGAAATTAAAACTCACGTGTTTTTGGAATTTTTTCAAATGTCGCCCATTTCTGAAATAATGAATAGTAAATCAAGAGTTGAGATTGGGACATAGAAGCCGTTTTGATCAATAATGAATAGTTTCGACACAAAAAAATCCTGAAGTTGAAAAATTTCGATTTTGAACACCCTATATATCTCTGTAATCATTACCGCTAGACCCCAAGTGTGATGTATTGATGAAATCAGCTCTTCAGGAAGAATCTAAGAATACAATGAAATACAGGGTCTTCCGTTTGAAAAAATCAAGTAGTACTTTGTAGATCGTTTGTTCCGAGCACCCTGTATTTTCTGATGCAACGGGAAAAAAATTCCTGAAAAATCAATTCAGATTATTTTTCAAATTTCAAATCGATTCAAAAATGAGTGAGCTAGAGGGGGGGTCATTTATGGTGAATCACCCTGTACATACATACCAAACAATTTTCGTTATAAACGCTAGACGACAATCCTGCTATTTCTGGCGTTCTACAGCTGCCTCAGAATCTATATTTTTCGAGAACTGATAGATTCAACCTCAATAAGGTATATGGATTTGAAATCAGAAGAAGGTCTATCGATCGGGAAAATAAAATACAGGGTGTTTCGTCAAAGAATACCATCTTATGTAAAATATTTAGGTTTACGATGATGTAAAATATTCAGGTTTTGCATTTTCTAGTACTAGAACCTGAATGCCCATAAAGATTTGTTTTTGTTAATTGACTCGGTCGTTACCATCCTATCATCAAGAATAATAATCAAATTATAGAACTTTAACCTATTTCGGATCATCAACTGAAAAATTAGCTTCATTTCTACATAAACGGGACTTAAAAGTAGCATATATGTTGAAATATATAGAACACACTGTAACTTCAAGCAAACCTCTGTCAATATTATTGATATACTTTTCATGTCTAGTCTAGAAGGCAAAAATATAGTTGTCATGGAAATTGTTAAAACAAAAATAACAGTTCAGTTGAAAGAATAAAAATTCTGTACGATGTTTTTTGATGAAGAATTAAATGTATAAAAACACAGTCTTCTAGAATCGTTTTAATCAATTCTTAACTTTGGTTATGGGCCCCGAAGAAAGGAGAGTGAGTGTGTTCAAATAAAGGAAAGTAAAAGTAAAATAATTTGGTCGAAGAAAGAAGATTGAAGTAAGAAGAAAAGGAAAAATGGAATCAGGAAATGAAAATGAATATGGGATTGCTCCTTTCAATGTGAATGGATTTGATAATTGGAAATTCAGATTGTATTCAGTAATGAGAGCTATGGAATTAAGTGAAGTTCTGAATGGAGCAGGAAGCAGTCAAAGAGATGAAAATTGGCACAAGAAGAATAATAAAGCATGTATGGTAATAATACAGAGTATAGCAGATTCACATTTGGAACACATCAAGGAAATTGATATGGCTTTTGATATGATAAACAAGTTGGAAAGAATTTTCACTAAGAAAGGTTTTATTTATTGAAAGAGATAACAAGTCTCAAGTATAGTTATAATACTGATTTACAAGATCATTTTTCTAAATGTGACAGAATATTTAGAGAATTGAAGAGTTTAGGAAGTAATTTTGATGAATCGGATATATCTTGTTTTCCCCTGCTTTCAATGCCTAATGAGTTTGAAAATGTGGTGACAGCTATCAGAACAATGTCAGAAAATGATTTGAAGTTGGAATTTGTGAAAAGTAAGCTATTAGAATTCGATATGAATGCTAATTCGAACAAATTTATGAAAGATAATGTAGCTCAGTCATTTGCGGCCACACAGAAACAAGTTAAATGTTTCAAAAACTACAGTAAGAAGGTCATGCAACTATCTATATTCTATATGATCACCCATCAAGAGTAGCAAAGTTCCCTACCTACGATTATAACATTGCCCTACTCCCATTATTAGATGCACTCACTAGCCGTAGCAAATAAGTCAGATACCTACTATAAGAAACATCGTCTAATAGCATCATACAGATGCACTCGCTAGTGACAGCAAGGTTCTATATCTAATAATCGCAGGTGGGTTATAATCAGCAAAGTCGACTTTATAATCACAGGTGATAACTCGCTTGTCACCTATGCTATTAGAGTTTCTTGCTGGGGTAATTCGATTTCTGACTATGGTAAATAGAAATTTTCCTCAGTGTATAATTTTCGAAAATGAAGGTTTGTCGAACCTGTCCACAGGTAATTTTAATCGTTCAGGTTGGGAAAGTACGATATATAAAAAGTTAAGCAAGCCTAGGCTAGTTTAGTTCATTGTACCAGTATTTCAGCTGATGAAGCTACTGTGTTAGCGAAACATGTCGTGTCTTTGAGAATTTTGTGGACATCTTATCGTTTGTGAAGTTTTTACATTCCCCATAAAGAATACTTCACTTTAGCTCATTTCAACGTTTCTGTAGGACCAATATAACCTGAGATAGCTTTTGAATAAAATATAACCAATCACCCTGTACATACCTTGAGTTTCCACGAATGTGCCGCCTCAAATGAGTCCCTGTCTACGGTGGAGAAAGCCAACACGCAGGCTTGAGCTCCTCTGTAGTAGGCTTTGGTGATGGCATCGAATTCTTCTTGGCCCGCTGTGTCCCACAGCATCAGCCGCACCTCTTCTCCGTCTACTCTGGAAAATAATTGGAATACTTCACAATTTGCATTGCGACCTACAACTTTTTTTTTCTACAAGCGTGCGTGATTCACCCTATACCCCTAAATTTAGTTTGGGAAGTTTAATTTTCCCGCAACATTACGGGAAAAAATTTCCCGTACTAGTGTGGAAAAACAAAGATATGATAATATGGCAAAATATAAGTGGTTGGTGATGGAATATGGAACTTTGAGTTTGTTTGTTGCAGTATTAAGTATGTATGTTCAGAATCATCCATTAAATTGCACTATTTATTGTGAAAATTAAGAAATATTGAAAGATAAAAATTGATTATTACGAAAATCCTATAGATTTGGATTGATCTGATGGGAAACGATTATTGTTGTCATGCCAATCAAACCTCAAATGAGTTTGTTATTGTCGAAGTGACAGACATAACGTACCTGTCATTTTCGATTCAGTGGAATTCCCACAATGTGATCAAATACTTCCAGCTATAGGGATGCGATACAGATGCGTTATTGCCAACGAAGTCTAAGAAAGGTATGAGAAGCTATACTGCACGCGTTTCATTGAATGGTGCAACAATAATGAAATGAAAAAACCGAATGAAGAATAAGCATTTTTGGCTCATTTCCTAGAAGTGTCTGAAACCTAGAGACCAAACACCTTATGGGCCTGCTGGCTTCCGCAATGAACCTATACATAATGCGTCAAACTGTAAGTTCACAATAGCTATTACTAATAATCAGTAGATAGAGAATATATTATTCCTCTTGTTAGTTGTTCCTATATGAATGAATAATTAATTGAACAAATCAATCAATTTCCTATGCTTGTAGAAAAAATATTGTTCCTAACTCATGCGGGGAAGAATCACTTTCCGCACTTGTTAGGAAAATTACTATTTTGGACATTCGGAATTGCCACTTTAATGTTTCACATCGATAGTAAAAAACGTAACAAACTACATCTTTTTTTTAACAATATTTTCGATGAAATAGGCCACGTTGACCTCACGTTTTAGTAACACTTACTGGTGAGATTGACAACATAAACAGTAATTGAAAAAAAATCACATTCTATGCAAAGATATATCTTCTTCTTACAGTTGCTTCTTAGGAAAGATAGATCAAGTTAACGCTGTTAACACCAAATTAAATAAGGTTTATTATGCGATATCTATATATGTAGAATAGGAAGCACCATGCCCACCAGTGCAATAATTAATGTATACTATAATCTAGTATACAGTCACGTGTGTTATAATATCATTTTATGGGGTAACTCAGTCGATGTAACTAAAATATTTGTGACACAAAAAAAACATTCGAAAGATGTTCAGACTGGAATATCAACAAACTTGTGAACACACCTTAATAAAATATAAAATAATGTCTTTTTACAGCGTGTTTATTTATCACTGTCTTCTATATGTGAGAAATAATAACATCAATACCTTCCAACTGAATTCTTCAAATCATTACAATGACACCAGAAAGTAAGATCTTCTACGCATTCCCAAACATAAAACAACAAAACTGGAAAATAGTTTCAGATATATGGGAATGAAATTATACATTCATCTATCAACATTCATTAAAAATATAATTTCCAATTATCCTTTCAAACGAACTATGAAAAATCTAATGGATACCAAATGTTATTATACTATAGATGAATTCCTGCAGGATGGCTTGTTAGTAGCCATTGTTGCCATTTGTTTCAATTTTTATTGTGTATTTTGTGTATTTCATCATGTACATCACTTTTTAAACTATTTTGTAAGCGCTTGACTTGTCCTATACATTTTGTAATGTCTCAAAGGATAAAATAAGTAAATATTATTAAGTAACATACTCTATACAGGGTCCTGCATCTCACCACCGTCTTATATAACTCAGTTATCAGTAGTGCGAAATTGATCTTTTTGTTATATTTCTTTTCACGTGAATATCACTGAACCGATTTCAATTAAATTCCAGGAGAATGTAGGTAACCACTAGGAGCACTCAAATGTGCAACAAAATATATGGCATGCCATTTAAAAAAATATATCATTATGACGTCACACTTTTTTTGGGCACCCTGTGAAATCGAAATTATTTTCCTGGTATGCGCCCTAAGAAACAATTGGAGTCTGCAAAATATCAAAATCCTGACTCAACTGATAACTGAGCTATAGAAGACGGGAGGTGAGATGCAGAACCCTGTATATTTGAAGAAAGGCAAGTGAAGGGATTGAAATTACATAATATTCTGATATATAAATAGCTGTGTAGGTATAATATTACCAATATTAGCAATACCGCGGAAGAAGGAAGCAAACGGCCTTCTATTTTTGTACGCGGAAAATGAGAAAATTCTATTGGCTCTGGAATGTCGATTGGCCATTAAAATTACGCTTTCGCAATATTTATATTTGAAATCACCTTATGCTTGGTAAAATTATTTATCTTCTTGTCGAACAAGATTACAGAATGGCGGATTCTCAATCAATCAGAGATAATGCAACTAGGTTATAAAGTTCTGAATTGATTAAGGAGCTAATACCTACAATGACCTACATGTATTCAACTTAACACTCGACTTAACACGATAGTATTGAATTCTGAAATGGAAAATATTAAAAATAATACCTAGTTATTTATTATACAAGGGAAAAAAGTAGTAGATTTTAGCTCCAGGTTGTGTCGTCTCCCGACACTATTTTTTTCTGTGACAGAAGAAGGGACGAATCAATATTGAGAAGATATTACATTATTTTGAAATCTGAAAATTATCGACGTGAAGTTTTTAACAGTAGGGACACCTGCGTTGTATAGGCATCTGCATCATTTTTTTGAAGTAAGTAATCAAAAATCTGATGTCACTTCTGTCAGTCTAATTCTGTTATTTGATTTCAAAAAATTGCAAATTTAGTGGTTGTTTAGTAATATACGTAACCGCGAAGTCGAATGGAAGATAAAAGGACTTGCAGTTCTTTCTCGGAGACGGTATTATTGACCCATTTTTGGAACTATAGTTAATCTGTAGTACAACAAAAGCCATCAACAGTGTATATATATTTGATATATATCCGGGAAAAAAGTACTCACTTATTCTACCCCACGGGAAAAAAGTAATTTATGAAGAGTGACATTTTATAACCTGCCAACAAAGATGAAATGCCAAACTTTTTTCCCGTCACAGAAAAATAGTTATTTATTATACAAGGGAAAAAAGTAGTAGATTTTAGCTCCAGGTTGTGTTGTCTCCCGACGCGTAGCGGAGGGAGACAAAAAACCGTGAGCTAAAATCTAATATTTTTCCCGTGTATAATACACTATTTTTTTCTGTGACAGAAGGAGGGACGAATCAATATTGAGAAGATATTACATTATTTCGAAATCTGAAAATTATCGACGTGAAATTTCAAGTTTTTAACAGTAGGGACACCTGCGTTTTATAGACATCTTTATCATTCTTTTGAAGTAATCTAATATCGGATGTCACTTCTGTCAGTTCAATTCTGTGATTTGATTTTAAAAAATTGCGAATTCAGTAGTTGTTTTGTAATATACGGAACCGCGAAGTCGAATGGAAGATAAAAGGACTTGCAGTTCTTTCTCGGAGACGGTATTATTGACTCATTTTTCGGAACTTTAGCACAACAAAAGCCATTTACCGGGAAAGAAGTACTCACTGTTTTCCCACGGGAAAAAAGTAATTTATGAAAAGTGACATTTTATAACCTACCAACAGAGATGAAATGCCAAACTTTTTTCCCGTCACAGAAAAAACATTTTAATTGGGAAAATTTCCATTTCATTTGGTTACAAGATACGAAATATTAAACATTATTTTCAATGCATTTCGTGAGGTGGGATGGAAGAAGTAAAGTTAGATACTCACTCTATTTGTCTTTCTAAAAAATCTACTCCTATTGTTTTCTTGTAGTCCTTGGTGAAGGTACCCTTGCAATATCTTTGGATCATGCTTGATTTGCCTACCCCACCGTTGCCCACTATAACCACCTGAAAAAAACTGATAATAAATAATCATCCATAAACTATACAACATACAGAAGTTCCTAAAGAGTTCAATTTCCAGCAGATCATCTTCAGATTTTCAACTGCTTCTCAACAAATGTTATAGTAATATGCGTAGTAATAAAATCAGAGTCTAGTATATGGTTGCAGGTAATCTAAAAATACGTTTCCTATATCGTTAAAAATTGTTTGTTATTTCATTTTGCCATAATTTTATTTTGGACACTCATGAGTGTATCTAAAGATTGTTTACACGATTGTTTACAAAAATGAAACACGAAACACATACGTAGTTTACCTGCTTAAAAATATAAGATATCAATGAATGAATAAATTGAAGAGACTATTAAAATAACAAAATGAATAGTGGTGTATCAGATGCAAAAATCTAACGATATACAGGGTGGGTCAAGGTCGATGATACACCTTAGACCTCAGACGTTTACGAGGGCAGGACATAGGATCATTCTGAAAATTTTGTTTGCTCATGTAGTTGCTCTTGGTTTATCGATCTAAAATAATGTCAATGCAGCATTTCCGCTTATCCAGAAAGTAGTATAGGAGCTTTGATATTTCATATGGAACACCCCGTATTTCATTGCGTTTTCAGATTTTCCCCGAAGAACTGATTTCATTAATGCATCACACTTAGGGTCTAGCAAGATTTATAGGGTGATATAGGGAGATATGGGGAGTTCAAAATCTAGATTTTCAACTTTGGGATTTTTTCGTTCATTATATTCAAAATGGCTCTCATGTCTCTATATTAACTGTTGATTTAATATCCATTAATATTTAATTGGAGCAGTTACAGGGTGATCATCAGAATTCTGAATCTTGAACCACCCTGTATTTGTTCCAATTAAATGTCGGCAGATAGTAATTAAAAAGTTGTGATAGGGACATGTGAGCCATTTTGACCAATAATCTCGCCAATAATGAATAGTTTCGGCATAACAAAAAATTCTATAGTTGAGAAATCTCGATTTTGAACATCCTATATCTCTGTAATCTTGGCCGCTAGACCCCAAGTGTGATTGATACATTGATGAAATCAGCTCTTCTGGGACACATTCATTTTACTTGATTTTTCGGGTGTCTATTATACCGTTCTCAACATGAAAATGCAAAATATTTCTCTTTGGAAGTTGTGCTGCTTAAATTTTGACACTTTTCAGTGTCATACTGATGTTGGCATATGAATGAGTGATTTTAGTCTACAAATGAGTTACAGGATGTTTTCATTAATTGATCTTGAATCTACCAAGTTTTTAGTAGTGAATACCATGTTATTCTATCTAAAGGGTGGGCCATCTATTGGTCCGATTTTGAGTAGATCATTAAATAAACAAAAGCTGATTTTTTGCAACGAATTTCGCTTTATTTGCTACAGTGTTTCTTCCGATTAATTATGGTTTCAACAAGATGGCGCAACTTGTCATACCGCCGCGCCAGATCAACCTTCTGCGCACAAGATTCAACAACCGTGTGATTAGCCGTTTCGGCGATGTCCACTGGCCTGCTCGCAGCTGCGATTTGACGCCGCTGGACTTTTTTCTGTGGGGTACATTGAAGAGTAAAGTTTATGCCGACAATCCCCAAACAATTGATCACTTGAAAAATAATATTCGTGCCGAAATTGCCCAAATTGACCAGGAAACAGTGAACAAAGTGCTTGAAAATTGGTGTTCCAGGATGGCCTACTGCCGAGCCAGCCGTGGCCAACATTTCAATGAAATCATTTTCCATATTAATCGGAAGAAACACTGTAGCAAATAAAGCGAAATTCGTTGCAAAAAAATCAGCTTTTGTTTATTTAATGATCTACTCAAAATCGGACCAATAGATGGCCCACCCTTTATATAGAACAACAACAACAACAATGACAACATTACATATATGGTTGTGAATAAATATTTTTTTTAACTTGACCCCATCAGCTGATTTCATTGCAAAAAGTTTGTTCTTGCGTTTCACTCTTATGTTGTTTTCAATTCTTCTTTCTCTCGACTCTATCTAATAACTTCGAAAAATGACTCTCTTGGAAAAAAAAAGAATAACTTTTCGCTATCTTACTGCCATTAGTCAACAAATTGATATGTATTTACTCAGCAAAAAAACGAGTCACTTATCATTATATCGAAGAAAGCAACAAGTGACGTTATATCGGGACTACTACATTTTTCACATTCTCCAACTCAATCTGCATCTGCATTATCTGTAATCAATGCAATTTATTTGTTTGCTTTTCATACCTACTTGAAATACTTAGTCAATAACATGCAAATTAATCTTTACGTACAGATGAAGGTGTCTATTATACCGAGTGATGAACGAATAATGATCGCAAGTCAAAAATGTTATGAATCACATCCCATATGAAAGAATAACAGTAAATCCGTTGGCTTTATTCATCATCATCCAGTGCGCTGTAAACAATAAGATTGATTTTTTCAATCGGATTCGTTTGGATTTATATTGATGATAAATGACTTTGGACTTATTGGAACTGCATGGAAATATCCTTTCTCCAACTCATTTTATACATGGGTAATCATAGCGCACCTCATTTTGATTTATCGGGATGATTGTTCAATTATTTCAATTGAACATGCACACATAATACTTTGAGGTGAGAAAGCTATCACGCAGATTAGAAAACAATATGTAGGTATGACAATGCATGTTGCCATTTTCGTGTAATAATAATGAATCAGTACCTACATTGAGGCTTTTGAGATTAGTGGTTATTGTGGGTTGGTGATGTTAATAAATAATATCGGTAGGTATGAAAGTGCTTTCTCTTCTCAACGTCTTATATGGTCGTAGTTTTATTATGTCAATAATAAAATAAGTATTACAGCACTATGGTATTTTCATTTTCCCACACCCAACATACTGTAATAGACTTCATCCTGTATATATATCGAATATTTATTACCAACTGATGAAGGCGGCAGAGCAAAACTGGTAGCAAAAAATGCAATTTTAAAGAAAACATTTTCAAAAACCCTGGTTGGATGTTTCGTTTGTTAGGTCGAGGTCGGTTGATACAGGGCCAAATAACTTTCAGCACCGGCAAAAAAAACAGCCATTTTTCTCCAATTTTTGTAAAATTTCAACCATATCGTATATTCATGTTTCGTTTAGCCTGAATATTAGGTCCTAAGAAAAGCTGAGGGCTTGATCATTATACAGGGAAAAACAAAAGTTAAACTTTCACCCTCAACTTCTCAACGCCCTGTGGTTGGTTGGTGAGTGGTTAAACCATAGCTAAGTTTAATTATGCTAATCGGAAAGAACTTTTTGTTTTCAATAATGATTCGCGGTTACGTGGCCACACTCTCAGATTAAAAAAGGAGAAATTTGCCATCATGAGGCAGAGACAATATTTTTTTGGTGAATCGTATTTTCTAAACATGAAATAACTTATCCAACGATGTTATTGTGAATTCTGACTCAGTGAAAAGTTTTAAGAACAAGATAGACATTTGCTTATATTTTCTTATGTATGTATTCTATATACTTTTTTTGCATGCATTGTATCAACTTGTTGGTCCCTTTAGTTTTTGGGCTTACATCTCTGTCTCAGTCTTTATTTATATGTAATAATAATAACTTAACTTCATCACGTTTTGGATTGAACTGTGAACCCTTCTTAACACAATGGTTTTTGATTCTTGTCGATAACCACTTTAATAAAGAAGTTACAAGTGTTTTAAGAAAGTATGTTTTTTTTTTATTTTTATTATAACAATAACTCCAACTTTCTGTTTCATCATGTTTTGTATTGAAGTGTGATCCTTTTTCGTCTCATCTTAACACAATGGTTCTTGATTCACGTCAATGTCTTCTTTTCAAGAGAAGATACAAGTGTTTCAAGAGAGTAAGGAATTTTTCAATTTTCTTTAAAAATAATTCAGAACCGATACAGCATCTTAGGAATCAACTGCAGAGGCTCATTCGCCTTCGTTCGGCGTTGTCAGATACTCTTCAAGAGCTATGATTCGCCATTCAAGAAGAATTTTAGGCCATTCTTCAAGACCACTTGAGAAATTTCGAGAGAAATTTGATCAACTAGATGCCACGGCTGTTGAATGCTGTAGTAGCTTTAGTTTGTCCCTGAATAATGATCAAGTATTCAGTTTTTCACGGAAACTAATATTTATAGAACATGAATCTACGATTTGATCAAAATTTCACAAAAATCCGACAAGGATTAAAAAAATTGCAGTTTTTTTGCCGGTGATTGAATACAAGGTGTATCTAAATCGAGATCTAAATAACACCGAAAAAATTCAAGTGGTGATTCCTTGCTTCGTTTTCGAGATACAGGTTATTAATATTTCCATGAAAAATCTTTTTTTCTATTTATTTCTCAATTGTCTTTTCACCAATTTCAATAAAACGTTGTGTTTTTGTTAATAGTAATATGGAGCTTCTTCTAGTGCAATTAGATTCGAAATAATATTTGCAGTGGCGTCACAGTGGGTAAATTTATCGATATTTATGGTGAGTGTCATTGTACGCCATCATACGCCATCGGTTTTTCTGAGTCTCATATTTTTATTAGATTGAACTATCGAAATAACAGCTTTTCATTCCCTGTGGGATTTTTGTATCTAACTTAGTTTTTGAAGAAACGATAAAAAATCGATTTGACTCCAAATTTTAATGTAGGTGTTTTCAAGACTTCTTCTTCTTTCGAGATTACTCAATAACCCCAATCAGAATCATTTTGAGATTTTGGGGCTTTCTCAGTCTCCATCCATACTGAATTTTGGCACCATGAAAGCTCATACAGGGGTGCTATAAATAAAAACAATTAATACCTCCAACTTCAACATCCTGTATCTCAAAATCGGAGCAAATTAGGACACATGTTCATATGCATTTTATTTGCCCAGTCGGTGTTGTTATTTAGATACGACCTGTTTATACACATATTAAATTTAGATTTTTCTCACCTTCAGGGCAACTTCTAACTCCTCCTCCCTCATATTTCAGGCACGTGGCCCGTACCCCCTGGAAAGGGGTCCGGAGCTCATCGTTTTTCGGATATTATCGGAACCCTGAAAAACAACACAAAAAAATCATCAAATTCCATCTTCATATGTATTTATCATCAGATGATAGTAGAAATATACTAGTTAATAACTATTCAGAAGACAAAATCATGCTCAATCATGATGCACTTTATTAACACAAAAAAGCCAGTTTTAATTTTTCATGCACTTCTGAGTTATACAGGTTGTTTCGCACTTTTTTATTTCCTCCCAGAGTGCGTCCCACATATTACGAAACACCCTGTATAGAAAAACCGTAAATATACGATTATATTCATAATATAAACTAGGTGCCATAAGTATAGATACGTCGGGGTGAAGTCTATTCGCATCATCAATAATAATTCTCTATCATTATAATCAGCATTACTTTCAACATTTTTTTCAATGAATCACTGATATAGAAAAATAGGTAGGAATCTCTGTTTGTTTTTAAAAAACTATTTCGAGAAGAGTAATGAATTTTTATGATTCAAAACGAAGAAATCATATCAATGTTTTGAAGATGAGCCATCAGATGCTGGTTACCTAGCTGTTACCTTTGCCAATTTATGGAACAAACCACAAAACCCACGTGAAATAATGTATATGAGAATATGAGGAATAAAACCTACTTTTATACATATACTTGCATGATGATGATGATGAATTCCATATCTAGTTCAGCCGGAAGTGATACAAGTTTTGTTTTTCAAATTACACTCTGTAGATACATTTATTTGCATATTCGTACCTATTCTACATTAGATTTCACATCTATCCCTGCCAAGAATCGGTCAACTGCTAAATTCATGAATACATTTTTCAGATCTTACACGCTAATAATTATTATTTATATAGGGCGGACATTACATTCCACTTGTTAATGTGGTGCTGATAATCATCCATATACGAATGTCTAAAAAAAGTAGGTAGGCATACAAGGTGATTCTAAAATAGGTGGTTAAACTTTGGGAGCATATAGAGTGAGTGAAATAGTTACGAAAACCTCCGTAACATTTTTTCTGTAGTGACCCCCAAGAAAGATACAGCCCATCAAAGGAGGACCTCGGAGAATGATTTTGTATTATTATCTCCAACTTGTATAATGAAAATCTGAAATTTTGTCCATTCACTTACTATTCAGTGCCGGCGGAAGCTTTGTGTCAATGCTTTTAGAAACTGCTTCAAAAGATATTGTAGACATCAGGGCAAACCTCGAGGGAATTGTAAATGAAAGAGCTGATTCAGCTTTTTGTTGGGGTATTAATTCAAGTTTTAAGAATCAAAGAATTCCTGAATTTGAAATTGAAAAAAAAATTAGTTGTCGTGTACCGGACGACTAAACAATCGATTCAAAGGGTTGAACAGCGAAGTTCAAAGATTTGAAGTATACTTTTCGGTCACAAGAGAACACTGTGATGCTGAGTCGATACTCCTCTCTGAGAAATTCATTAGGTTATTTCATCCCAATGACTATTCGGATTTGCTTTCGGAAGAAATTTTGTCATTCAGGTGCATTTATGAAGATCAGATCAAGACAGTTCAAACAATTGGATTGATTACTTGGAGATTTTTTGGAATCAAGAATGATCTCTAGCTCATTTAAAGAAATATGCTGTGCTTTCATTATTTTTTCAACAATTTATGTCTTTGTATAGCAAGTTCGGAGAGATAATGTTCAATCTTACGATTGAATGAAAATTCGAGAAGGAAAATGTCGCAAAGCAGGGTTTCTTGCTTGGTAATTTTCTCAATACAAAATGAGACAGCCAGGACTTTATACATATAAATAGAATGATTCCATTGTTTGCGAATCGCAAGGCAAGAAAAGTAGACTTTTTTCAGCATAAATAGTTCGATTAGCATTAGTTTTGTATTTTCGAAAGATCAGTTATTGGTTACATTTCAACGTTAGTTACTATGTGCATGTGTAACCTCCTACAATTATTATAGGAACGACCATGCATTTTTTTTTACAATATAATTTTCATTTAAGCTATTTCGTGTTATGATGAAGGGGTCCTGCTTTGACTTGCTACGTCCCTGGTGGTTATCCCGAAAGGACCCCGCACGAAACCATAGGGAATTGGCCCACAGTGGGATTTGCCTGAAATTCACATATGTTATAGGTATGGAGTTTCTGATCAAATGTTTTCATGTGACCAATCCTCTAAGACCAAAGATTCAGCGCTCAGGGCCGTATTTAGTATAGGTGCCAAATAAACAATGACACTTTTTTTTGAAGCCCATGATCTTCCATTATAATTTAATTGAATGAGATATGTTGCGAAATATTGGCATTTGTCTCTTAGCACAAGTCCTCTGTAAAACATGCCTTGTCCTACAGGGCCGTATTTAGTAAAACTGTATTTGCCAAAGTGCCGAATCGAATTGATTTTGTTATTACTTTGTTATTTCTTGTCCTATTTCAGTGGTCGTTTGATAGATGAATGTAGATTTCTTTGAGTACATAACAAAAGTGGTTACCATCTTGATATTGAAGATGGTCGGCCTAACATTCAATCTTTATAAAGGACATATCTCGTAGCTTTTTAGGAATGATAGTAACAGAAAAAGATTAGAACACGTTTCGATTGTTGAAATCGGTCATTTACTTTTTCAATTACCTAACTCTATGATATAAATATAACTCTACTATCTAATTGAAACTCCATCTAATTCATAACTAACAAAGTTGAAACCGATATTTACAGGGTGGTGTACAAAAAAGTCGAGCACTCACTATCAACATAATTCCCGAACACTTACAGCTGCTGCAGTATTGCATCTTGCACTGGACGATTTGCGGCATCTTTAATATGCTGTGACACAGAAGTCGATGGATAATTCACATTTTGATTATGACGGGCAAATCCTAAATACTACAATATGCTAGTTAGAGATGATCATGAGTCGTTTGAAATTGTTCTCAGAGTGAATGAACCTGGATTCATTAGACTTAGAGTGTATTCTCGATTCAGGAGGTGAGAAAAATATCAAGTATTTATTCAATACACTCCGCATGAAAATCAGCCTGACGAGAAGAATGAAGAAGATGTATTGATAATAGGATACTACTGCAGTTGCAAATCAGGGGCAAGGACACTAGGAACATGTGCTCTTATTTGTAGCATATTGTGGTATTTAGGATTTGTCCGCCATAATCAAAATGTGAATTATCCATCGACTTCTGTGTTACAGCATATCAAAGATGCCGCAAATCGTCCAGTGCAAGATGCAATACTGCAGCAGCTGTAAGTGTTCGGGAATTATGTTGATAGTGAGTGCTCGACTTTTTTGTACACCACCCTGTGAATATCGGTTTCAACTTTGTTAGTTATGAATTAGATGAAGTTTCAATTAGATAGTAGAGTTATATTTATATCATAGAGTTAGGTAATTGAAAAAGTAAATGACCGATTTCAACAATCGAAACGTGTTCTAATCTTTTTCTGTTACTATCATTCCTAAAAAGCTACGAGATATGTCCTTCATAAAGATTGAATGTTAGGCCGACCATCTTCAATATCAAGATGGTGACCACTTTTGTTATGTACTCAAAGAAATCTACATTCATCTATCAAACAACCACTGAAATAGGACAAGAAATAAGAAAGTAATAACACAATCAATTCGATTCGGCACTTTGGCAAATACAGTTTTACTAAATACGGTCCTGTAGGACAAGGCATGTTTTACAGAGGACTTGTACTAAAAGACAAATGCCAAGATTTCGCAACATATCTCATTCAATTAAATTATAATGGAAGATCATGGGCTTCAAAAAAAAGTGTCATTGTTTATTTGGCACCTATACTAAATACGGCCCTGAGAGCTGAATCTTTGGTCTTAGAGGATTGGTCACATGAAGACATTTGATCAGAAACTCCATATCAATAACATAGGTGAATTTTAGGCAAATCCCACTGTGGGCCAATTCCCTATGGTTTTGTGCGGGGTCCTTTTTGTTCACAGGCCAATCCGTAAAACAACCGCTAACCAATCGACGATATTCAAATATAACAACTGAATAAATGAACCCCTTGAACCAAATGATGGATTGTTGTTTGGAGCCGCTGATATGGTATGAAATTAGACATATTTTTTCGAAATACGGTTGAATACCGACCGATGAAGAATCCACTCCTCAACAAGACTGGAATTATTAGGTGTTATTTATAGATGCCATATGGTAAGCGAGATCTCTTCGGAAGTCTCTCGATTGTCTTCAGCCTGGGGCATATATCGAGACACCAAGGAACTTGTGCCAATAAAAATGTGTGTTGCTGCTAATGATGAGTTTATCGTTCTCAATGGAATTATCTTTTTTGGAAATAGCAGAGTCAGTGTTCATAATCCAGGCAAGAATTCTCGGAATATTCTGCAAGTTGATTCCTTATAATTCACTCATTGAATTACCATTTCACTCAGTCAAGTAGAATACATTTTCACTTATAATATCACGAGAGCTTCAATTATTCCCGGATTAATAGAGACGGAAAATGTATTCAAGAAACAAAAAAGTCGATATGTTGTTAATATGCAATTTTAATCAACACACAAATGAAGAAGAAAAATTATTGATGCAATCGATTAACTGCCAAACACATGAAACATTTTGTGTAGGTACACCGCCTACTAAGTGAAATAATTATGAAAACAAGACTGATAGCCCTGTGGATCGTATAAGAGGAACAAATTTAGTTTTATTACTCCAAATGGGAAGATTATGTGATAGGTACATGGCGAAAATAAAAGACAGATAGTTTCTGTACGAGTAGCTGAATTCGAAAAAATATGTTCCTATCTTAGATTCCTCAATATCATGAGTTATTTTCGAAGGTTTTCATCTTGACTCAAACAAGCTATTGACAACCTGCAGACATTGATCAGGATATCAAAACATTTAGAATAATATAGGTTTACTAATGATCTTTAAATTTCAAAGCCTA